CCTTTCACTGAGGAAGCAGGCCAAGCCTCTCTAGAGGAGCCCGCAGACATTCCAGGGGCCACTCTTGGAAGTCCTGCCTGGCACTGGCAGCCGGTTTCATCTGAATGAGTCTACAGCACCATCTGGTGGCAACTGGGTGTCAGGGCTTCCTGGGAGTCAAAGCCAGGAGGATCCTGGAATGCCAGTATCCTCAGCCAAGAGGGGCCCAGGAGTACAGGAGTGGGGATGTGGGTGGAAGGATGATCTGAGGGTCAGGGATGGGGCGAATTCATGCATTCATACTTTGCCTAAGAGCTATGAGAGAGCTTAGAGGTCCAGAGGGCATTGAAACAAACAATTTTAGAGAGAAAAAGTGACCAACACCCACATCCAGGATGAAAATTTATATCTACTGACTCCCATTCCAGTCTTCTTTGAACATATCTTTTATTTATTTTTATTTTTTACTTTAAATTTTTTTCTAATTTGTCTTAGGTTTCTTTTCTTTCTTTTTATAATACATTTAGTTTTTTAAAACTGTATTTCTTATTGATTTCAGAGAAGAAGAGGGAGATAGAAACATCCATGAGCGTTGGTCTGCAGACTGAAAGGTCCCAGGTTCGATTCCGGTCAAGGGCATGTACATTGGTTGCGGGCACATCCCCAGTAGGGGGTGTGCGGGAGGCAGCTGGTGGATGTTTCTCTCTCATCGACGTTTCTAACTATCCCTCTCCCTTCCTCTCTGTGGAAAATCAATAAAATATATTTTTTTAAAAAGAAAGATCCATGGGAATCATTGATTGGCTGCCTCCTGCACGCCCCCTACTGGGGGATCAAGCCCGAAACCTGGGCATGTGCCCTGGATCAGAATTGAACCCAGAATCCTTTAGTCCACAGGCTGATCCTCTATCCACTGAGCCAAACCAGCAAGGGCTCAATATATATTTTAATACAAAAGGTGCTTATTAACGCTCTACCAGTGCCTATCACTGTGTTAGGCTCTGTTAAGGGGCTAAAACAATAATAATTACTTCATTGAGGACTTTGTCATATGGGTGTTTTAGTTATTTTACTCAATTCTCTTAACAACCAGGAGTCCTGCTTCCATTTTAATAATAAAGACACTGAAAGCAGGGAAAGTTACCTTGCCCAAGGTCACATTGCTGAGAAGTGGCTGAGCTGGGATTTGAGTTCAGATATGCTTGATGTCAATGAAGGGATCCAAGGGTCAAAGGATGGAACGACCAAAGAGATCCAAGCAGAAGGTCTCACTTAGTCCACATACACGGAGGCCCTCCTGGGCACGCACTGTGCGAGGCCGGGGAGTGGGAGAATGCGGAAGGTGAACGTAGCAAATAATAGGATATAGCCCTTGCCTGTCTGCAGCACATCATCTGACCGGGGAGGCAGGACATGAGCTGAAATTAAGACTTATTAGATAGGCAGAAACTTGCTTTTATTAGACAGCATTGAGTTCAAATCAGAGTCCTGTCATTTCCTAGCTGTGTGATCTTGGGAAAGTCACTCCATCTCTCTGGATCTCAACGTTTTCAACTATAAGATGGAGATGAAAAATTGCTACTACCTCATAGGGATATTGGGAAGATCACACAAGGCACACAGTGTAAAACACTCACCTGTTTAATGAGTGCCCCGTTACACCTATTAGTAGTAATACTAGGTCACTTGGTCATGTCACTTTCACAGCACAAGTAATTTCTTTACTAAAAAGATCTTTAGTGACTCTCTGTCCATGAATTAGGTTTGAATTTTTAGCCCTACATCCAAGGCTCTCAGGAATATAGATGCTAATGACTTTTATAGCCTCGCCTTCATTTTCTCTTTTCATTTTAGCCACTCCAGCTTGCTCCAAATCAGTCCCATTTTGCCTTTACTCTCCTCACATTTATCCTTTTATTTGCTCAATAAATTATAAATATTAAGCATCTATTATGTTCCAGGCACTGTTCTAGATGCTAGGAGTAGACAGATAAATAAGACAAACAAAAGTTCCTGACTTCATGGAGGTCACATTTCTAAGTCAGAGGGAGGCATGCCTTTTTTCTTTTTTTTTCCTTTTTATTCTTTTTATTCTTTTTAAGTGTGGTATGTCAGAAGGTGATAAGTTGTGTGAAGAAAAAAATAAAGAGGGGAGAGAAATAGGAATGCTGGGGGTGCAAGTTACAGTTTTAAACAATTTGAGGAGAGGTCTGAGAAATGTCAAGGAACATCAAAATGGCCAGTATTGCTAGAGCAGAGAAACGAAGGGAGCCAATAGTTTACCATCAGATCAACCATGTAGGGCCATCAAGGCCTTTGTGAGAACTTACTGGCTTTTCCACTGAGTGAAACAAGAAGGCATTAGAGAATTTTGAACAGAGGAGAAGGGTAGTGATCTTACATATATTTTTCTGGTAAAATATACATAATACAAACTATTTCCAAGTGTACAATTCAGTGGCATCCACATTGTTATGCAACCATCACCACTCTCCGTCTCCAGAATTTTTCATCTACCAAAGTTACCCTCTGCACTCATTTCCTCAGCCCCCGAGCCCCTGGCGACCCTTTTACTTTCTGTCTCTGGGAATTTGACTACTCTAGGTGCCGCATAGAAATGGATTCATACAATCTTTGTCCTTTTGGGACTGGCTGATTTGGGACTGGCATAATGTCTTCAAGGCTCATCCATGATGTAACATGGGTAAGCATCTCCTTTTTAAGACTCAATAATATTCCATTGTATTATATACCACATTTTGTTTATCCATTCACTGTCAGTGACGCAAGGGTAGCTTCCACCCCTGGGCTGCTGTGAATAATGCAGCTATGAACATGAGTGTACAAATATCTGTTGCAGTTCCTGCTTTCAATGTTTTTTTAGTATATACCTATAAGTAGAATTGCTAGATCACAAGGTAATTTTTTTTTAGAACCATCACCATACTGTTTTCCACAGAAGCCGCACCATCTTAGGTTGTTTAAAAGATTACTTTCAGAATGAATTAAGACTAGACTCTAGGAAGGCAAGAGTGGATATGGAGATATCAGTTAAGAGGCTCTGCCTTTATGCAAGTGAGAAATAATGGCCGCGTGGACCTACATAGTAGCAGGGGAGGTGGTGAGACGTGGCTGGATTCTGGTGATGTTCTCATGGTAGAGCCAACTCCATTTGTCGAGGAATTAGCTTTTGAGTACGAAAGAAATGTCTCCCTCCTTTTGGCCTTGAGTAACTGGAGAGATGATGTTGCTATTTACAGCTTTGGGGAAGTTTGCATTAATTGTAGGAAGATACATCAGGAGTTTTGGGGCATGTTAAGATTAATATGTTTATTTTACAATCAATTAGAGATCAAGATCCTGGGGTTCAGAGATGTATGGGGTGGAGAGAAAAGTTGAGAGTCCCTGGTGTACAAATGACATTTAAAATCACGAGACTTGAGAAGATCATCCAAGGAATGATGATAGACATAAAAAAGGAGAGGGTCAAGGACGGAGAACTGGAACATCCAGCAATAGAGGTTGATAAGAAAACAGCAAAGAACACTGAGAAGGAGATGCCCGTGAGATAGGAGGAAAGTCAGGAGGGCACGGTGTCCTGGAAGCCCAGTGAAGAAAATATTTGAAGGAAAGGGATCAACTGTGTTAGATAATTGTTGCCTAACCGGTTTGGCTCAGTGGATAGAGCCTCAGCCTGCAGACTGAAAGGTCCCAGGTTCGATTCCGGTCAAGGGCATGTACCTTGGTTGTGGGCACATCCCCAGTAGGAGGTGTGTAGGAGGCAGCTGATCAATGTTTCTCTCTCATTGTTTCTCTCTATCCCTCTCCCTTGGTCTCTGTAAAAAAAATCAATTAAAAAAAGATGATTATTCAAGTAAAATGAGAATTGACAATTGGCCATTGTTCTTGGCAACCTAACAAAAGTTATTTCAAAGGACTGTGGAGAGGTGAGTCAAGAGAGAAGGGGAGGGAAACGGAACTGGCGACGGTGAGGATAGCAAAGTCTTTCAGAAGTTTTGCTGTTAAGGAAAGTAGGGAAATGCTGGAGGGTCAGGAGAGGGTTGGTTTTTGTTTGTTTGCTTGCTTTTAAGATGGGAGAAGAACAGCATGTATGATGACAGGAATAATCCCACGAGGGAAAAGGGAATGGAAGTGGCGGGAACTGTAAAGCTATGCCCTGAAACAGACCAGAGGGATGGGATCTAGTGCAAAGTATATGTGGTCCCCTCCCCATTCTCATATTCTCTCTCTCTCTCTCTCTCTCTCTCTCTCTCTCTCTCTCTCTCTCTCTCTCTCCTCTCTCTCTCCCTCCCTCCCTCCCTCCCTCTCTCTCTCTCTCTTTCTCTCCACCCTCTTCCTCTCCTCCCTCCCTCGACCTCAACACCTTCAACTTCCCTTCTCCACACTGTCTGCATTTTCCTAACCACAGCCACCTGGAGTTGTTTTGAGTCAAGATTGAGTTAATTGTGTCTCCCGATATCTTGAGAGCCCCTCTAGAGTAGAGGTGCATGTAAGTCACCTCTGATTTTTTCTCCACGAACGCCCAATCCGTGGCCCAGAGCCCCCCAGTCTTCGCTCGCTGAACCCGCCCGAAGGGACCCCAAACAGCTACTACGCGGCTGGTTTCATAAAGGGGGGCGGTCCTAGCCCTGCGCTCTGGGATCCAAACGTTCGGGCTCCCGCCGGGCCGGCTCCCGCGGGGATCGCTCCCCTCCTCCCCGCTACTCCCAGCTTCACAAGACCACTCTGAGGGCCCCTGAGGCCCCATGCGGCCACCGTAGGGGACGATGGCCGATTCCCCTCAAGATTCGAGGTTGGTGGGGGCGGGGCCAACGCTTGGGGCCTTAAGACAAAACTGAGGATTGGACCAAGCACTCGGGGGCGGGGCTTAAGGGAGAACTCTGGCTAGAGAATGGACCAGGCCCGAGGAGGCGTGGCCTAATTGTAAAGCAGGGCGGAGATTGGACTGAGGGGGGGCTGTCCGCGCGAGGATTGGGCCGAGTGCTCCGGGGCGGTGCTTAAGGGGGCGGTACCGTGTCGAAAGTCAAAGGTCAGTAAATAGTGGTGATGTCATGCGGGGAAGATGGCGGAAGGGTGAGCCCGTCATCCTGCTCTCGGGCGTTGGGGCCTGAGTTCTCCCAGGGTCGGGGTGCTGGGCCAGGGTCCCCGTGGAGAACAGGGGGCCGGCGTGGCGGCGGACGCCGCTGGGGAGGCGGGGCGGAGTCGCAGTGGGAGGGGGTGGGGGAGGCGGTCTGCGAAGCCTCAGCCCGTGGGGTCACATCCGAGGGGAAACTGAGGCCGGATCGTTGGACCCGCGGGGCTGCCAGATGTGTCTGTCTTCCACAGGGAGGACGTGGGGTGGTGGCGGAGCTGGCTGCAGCAGAGCTACCAGGCGGTCAAGGAAAAGGTAAGCCGGCCCGGCTCCCTTCCTCCCCCGGGGCCCCGCACCGCTTCGCTGCAACTTGGCGCGGCCCCGCCCGGCCTGTGTGGGTGCCGGGTCCTCGGGGAGGAGAACGACTCTCTCCCTACTTTTAGCCCCTTTCGGGGCTACAGAAAGACCGATGCCGACTTAGGCCCGTGGGACACTAGCCACAGCGAAATCAAGACTTTTAAAGGCTGCAGCGACCCTCTTGTGAGAATCCATAGGAAGGAGAGATTTACAACTTCCTCGAAGAGAAAACATGTCATGTAGGTCTTAAAGATAAAGGATTCTAGCAATAAAAACTTAGTCCTTTAGTCCTTTAAAATATTAGCGTATGTGCCACAGCCAGCGCTCTCGAACAGATCCTGAGGAGATCGATATTGGCCAAACAGATGCAGCCCCCAACCCCACAAAGCTCTGGGATGAGCGAGACTTGGCTCCACCCATGGGAAATGCCATTGGGTGCTTCTGTTTCATGCCATTGCTAGCCTGTCAAAGCCAGCCCGAATGCATTGTGGAAATAGCTAACTACTATTTACCTCAAGCTACCGGGATGCGTCCTGCTTCAGAGCAGACTCCCCGAAGCTCTGCCCTCAGTTAAATAGCTCCTTTACTCCGGGAGCTTTTTTATCTTCCCGTGGCCTGTGTACTCCTCTCAGCTCCGGTCCAGCAAAGCTGAGGATGCCCTGAGCGGTTTGTGTTTTGATGGGGACTGAGAAGGAGAATCTCACACTGAGGTTTAACAGAAGAGACCTCCAAGTAGCTCGGTTTCTGTTGCTCATTCTACCGACATTCATTTAGCAAATACCTTTGAAGGCTGCCTGTGTGTTTCCCTCAAGGTTGGTCTGCCATACTCATGAAAAATAGGTAAATTAGCTTTCCATCTTTGTTCTTGGAGAACCCTCATTTGAAAACTGTGTGTGTGTGTGTGTGTGTGTGTGTGTGTGTGTGTGTACTTAACAGTTATATGAACCTGGGCAAGTTACTTAACCTCTTTAGGCCTCAGCTCCTCATCTTTACTTTAAAAAAAAAAAATGTATGTTTTATTGATTTTAGAGAGAAAGGAAGAGGGATAGAGATAGAAGCATTGATGAGAGATAAGCTGCCTCCTACATGCCCCCTATTGGGAGATTGAGCCCACAACCTGGGCATGTGCCCTGTCTGGGAATCAAACCAATAACCTCTTGGTTCTTGGATCAATGCTCAACCACTGAGGCCCATGGGTCCGTTTTTTCTTAGTCTTTCTGTGCTTTCCTGGCCTGCCTTCCTTTCCATCCTGGCTCCATTTGGACCACTCAATTCCCAGCACCCTCAATTCTCTTACACCCCATAGCATAAATTGCCCCAAGACTATTGCTCTGAGATGGTGCTATTATCTGCCTTCCTCTGCTCCTTACTCCCTGTAGTGTGTGGTGTGTGTGTATGAACTTTCCCACAGACACTGGTCGAGAACGTCACACTGCTCTTTGGCCCTGCCACAGATTCCCAAACTCACCTGGACCTGAATATCCCCCAGCAACTTTTTCAATCTCTAATTTGCTTCTTCTCCCCTTGCCTGAGGAACTTTCCTCAAACTTAATACCTTCCTCAAGTTCCCTGTTCAGTCACTTCCTCTTTTGCTTCCAGGAGACAACATTAGCTCTTACTTTAAAATAGATAGATAGATAGATAGATAGATAGATAGATAGATAGATCGATCTTATTGGTTTCATAGAGGAAAGGAGAGGGAGAGAGAGATAGAAACATCAATGATGAAGGAGAAGCATTGATTGGCTGCCTCCTGCACCCCCACACTGGGGATCAAGCCTGCAAACTAGGCATGTGCTCCCGACCAGAATGGAACCTGTAACCCTTTAGCCTGTAGGCCGACTCTATCCACTGAGCCAAACCAGCTAGAGCAGCTCCTACTTTTTAAAATTTGAGGTCAACAGCATGATCTCTTGAACTCCCTCTGCACCCCTGCAGCCAACACATATGGGCTTATCTATTATACACACTCAGCTTTACTTCATTTGCCAAATCCAGTGGGTGTTTTCAGCCCTTATCTTCCTGCACCTTCCTGCTGCATTTGACACTAGTGATCACTCTCTTGAAACTCGACTCCCTTGGCTTCTGTGACATGATTCTTTCTCAATTCTCCACATGCTTCCCCCCCCCTCCCTTTTCCTTTTCTGTTTTCAGGAGTTCCTCTGCCTGCTTCCTAAAGGTGTGGTATGTTGAGGGGCCTTGTCCTCAGCCCACTGCTCTGTTTATAGACTCTTCCTGGGTGACCTCCATTTTCATGTTAGGGTGACTCAGTCCTTTTCTCTGAGCTTTAGTGTTTGAGAAACTCCTTCTGGACAGCTGTTCCAGATATTCCAGTCACTGCTGATTCTACATGACCAGAGTCACTGTCACCATCATCTCTCAACCTGCTCCCCCTTCCGCATTTTCTTTCTGTTGGCAGCACTACACCTACCCTGGTCATCTAGGTTAGCAGCCAGTAGCTCTTCTTGATTCTGTCTTGTTCTCAGTCAGTGTGTGTGTGTGTGTGTGTGTGTGTGTGTGTATAAAATTACCAAATCCACCTTTTTTGCCTGGTATTTTTTTTTTAATGTTTTTATTGATTTGAGAGAGAGAGAGAAAAAACAACAACAAAAAAACATCGATCAGCTGCCTCCTGTACACCCCTATTAGGTATTGAGCCTGCAACCTGGACATGTACCCTGACCTGGAATCAAACTGGTGACCTTTTAGTAAATGGAACAGTGATCAACCAACTGAACCACACCATTGAGGGATGCCTGATATTTCTTGAATCAGTTCCATCCTTACTGGCACTGTTCTTATTCATACTTTTGTTTTCTTTCCTGAACTATTACAATAGCCTTCTAACTGGTCTTCCCTCTTCTAATCTTGTCACCTGAAATTACCTATTAAAAAACGCAAATCTTGTCCCAGCCACTGTTGCTCAGTGGTTGGAACATCATCCCACACACTAAAAGGTTGTGGGTTCGGTTCCCAGTCAGAGGGATGCACCTGGATTGCAGGTTCGATCCCTGGCCCAGGTTGGAGGCATGCAGGATGCAACTCTCTCCCCATCCCACTTTCCCTTTCACTCTCTCTGAAATAAATCCATGGAAAAAATATCCTCGGTGAGGATTTATTTATTTATTTATTTATTTTAAAGTAAATCTCATCATGTCCTACCTCTTTCAAACCTTCGTGGCTCTCCATCACCCACCAGGCTGACTGGATGCTCCATAGTTGCCCTCGGCAACATCTCCAGCTTTATTCCTCACCACTTCTGCTTCTCCTTTTATGTTCATTAGGACTAAAATACCATAAGCCTCAGTAAACCCCATACCCCAACATGTCCAGGCTTTCTTAGGTGACTCCTGCTCATAATCCATGTCACATCTTAAAGCATAGCAAAGCAGTGCAACAAAGTCTGTTTTGCTTCAGACTCCATGTGTCCCCTAACCCCATTCTGCTCCTGAGGACACTGACCCCGTCCCCCTCCGTTTCGTAGGAGACAGCCGAGGACTAGATGGGAGTTACTCTGGCTACACACAGCTTGTAGGTGTCTGGACTGACACTCAGTTCTCAGAGCGGCAGGAAGTTCTTTGCTCTCTGTTGTCAGTTATCAAGTCGTGGAATTGGGACAAGTGAGCATCGCCCCTGAGGCTAGGCTTCCCGTGCCGCTTGAATTTTCTGAGTGTCTGTCTGGTACTGAAGAAGCACAGGGAGCAGGAGCAGAGGGGGTGGATGTCATCCCAGCCGGCTCCGTCATCCCTCTCTGTCTCCCACAGTCCTCCGAAGCCTTGGAGTTCATGAAGCGGGACCTGACAGAGTTCACCCAGGTGGTGCAGCATGACACGGCCTGCACCATTGCAGCCACGGCCAGCGTGGTCAAGGAGAAGCTGGCTGTGAGTACAACCTGCGTCCTCAGAGCCACTGTCCCTCACACCTGACCGATTTTGAGACCATGGTGAAGGCTCCCAACCTTTCTCCCATTTTTCTTTTATGTAATTGCTTTTCCCCATGGGCTCTCGTTTAGAAAGAATGTGTCTGCCAAGCAAACAAGCTACATCTCTGTATTAAGTATTAATAAGCTTTCCCACTTCTTACTGTCTTAGCAGATGTTATCCTATTACCAATGCAATTCATTGTAGATAATTTAGAAAATACAAATAAGTAAAAGAAAAATAGAGAGGCCTAGAGACATCCAAAATGCCATCTCCCAGCGATAACTACTGTTACTATGTGGGAATATATCCCTTAGGTACCCTTTTATTTTCATAATTATCTTTTTTTTTTTCTTTCCCCCAGAGAGAGGAAGGGCGGGGATGTTGGGGGGGGCGAGGTTAGGGAAAAACATCGATCAGTTGCCTTCTATCCTCACCCCAACTGGGGATTGATTTTGCAACCTGGATATGTGTCCTGACTAGGAATCGAACCCACCACCTTTCAGTGCACAGGATGACACTCTAACAGACTGAGCTTCACTAGCCAGGGCTGTAGCCTACTTTTTTACTTAATCATTACAGATTTCATTCTGCAGCTTCACAAATGGCATGGCATTCTATTACTATGTTGCTTTAACCAATTCCTAGTTTCCTATTTCATTTTTCCTCAGTATTGTAAACAGGTACAGTGAACATTCTGATTGCTAAGTCTTTGCCTTTCACATTTTATTTCTAATAAAATATTGGAAGGAATCCTAGGGGGAGTATAGTTTTAGGTCTTTTAATATATATTACAAAACTATCCTCCAGAAGGTGTGCCAACTTATATTTTTACTGGCCCTATTTTTATTAATCATCTGAGGTAGGAGTTTGATTCTGAAGTCAGTGTGGGAGAGAAAATTTATACAGTAAAATGTATCCCTGCAAGTCTCCAGTTTCTGAGGAAGTGCAGTATACTGGTTTTTTACAGTTTTCCCTTTAGTGATGGGACAGATTGCAATTTCTTCATTTGCTCACCAGCTGAATCAATTGCCTTGTGTCTAGAGGCCATGTTATGAAAAACATGTTTGGCAGTTTCTTACCAAGCTCATTTTGTTGAAAGTTGTAGAATGCTGTCTGCCTGCTAACCACAGCTACAGATGAGCATGGAAGACAAGTGGTAGTCCTGCTGAACTGCGATAAGTCCAGCCGGGGCAGAGACAGCACTTGTTTCTTTCATTTATTTATTCCTTTTTTTAGACCCGTGCTAACATGTTCTAGCGCTGAGATAGGTTCTAGTTTAAAATTCGAGGGCAAAAAAATAAATAGAATGCCTGGGCAGCCTAGTTAGGAATAAATATTACAGTTTTCCACGAGGTCTGTAGAGCCTGACCCTGCCTCTCAGCATCTCATCCCTGCCTGCTCGAGGACATGCTGACCAGTGTGGCCAAGCTTGTTGTCCATACATTGGCCCTCAGCTAGTCCTAGGCTTGCCTGTAGGCAAGACGATGTTCTGACCCAGCCCATATTTCCTCAGACTTCACAGAAAATACTCCACTTCCTGAGCAGTCGTGATGATGAAATTGTGATATTACAATATTGCTATTTATTAAATTTTGCTATATGTCAGACATTGTGCATGCCTTATCTCTATTTCTTTCTTTTTTTTTGGTGCTGAAACTCACATAACTTATCTTTTTAATCTACACGGTAGCCCTCTGAAAGAAATATATTTATCTGAATTTTACAGGGAAGGAAACAGACTCAAGGAGGATTTAGGTCTCATATCGGCAAGTAGTAGAGCTAGGATTCAAATTAAAGTTTGATTCCATAGCTAGTACCTTTCTCATCACATTGGCCTTCCCCACGGAATGTCTGTGGCATGGCTCCTCACCTGTCAGTTTTTGCTCAGTCTGGCTGACCCTGGAATTTTGATGAAACAGCCAATCAGAGGAGCTCTGCTCTGACCTACAGAGGCCTACTGCAGCCCTATTCTGCACCCCCATCTGGGGGATGGGAACCCTGGCTGCCTCTCTCTCCTTCTCCAGCCCCAGAGATGGGGGGAGAAGTTGTGAGCGCTTCCCTGGTCCCCACCTACACAGTAAATTTTTGCCCTTGATACTTCACCACCGCTCTCTGCCCCAAACCCCAGATTGCAGCCTACTCCTGGACCACGTGCTTCCTCTGCTGGCTTATCTTTTCAGACTGAAGGCTCCTCGGGGGCGACGGAGAAAATGAAGAAGGGTTTGTCTGACTTCCTAGGAGTGATCTCCGACACCTTTGCTCCCTCAGCAGACAAAACCATCGACTGCGATGTCATCACCCTGATGGGCACGCCCTCTGGCACAGCTGAGCCCTATGATGGCACCAAGGTATTTACTGGTGGCTTTCCCTGCAGCTAACAGCACTGAGCTCTAGCTTCCCACATGTACTCACAAAAGCAATGTGTGTCCTGGCTAAAAAGCAAATGTATGTATATTACTGAATTGGAGAATACCAATAAGCAAGGAGATAATTATTTCTAAGTTCATAATCCCATCAGTCAAAAATAACCACTGATTTCTTACTGATGTTTAACCCTTCCTTCCTCCCTCCCTCCTTCCCTTCCTTCCTTTCTTCCTTCCTGTCATTCTTTTAAAGAATAAGGAGCTGCACAGAGTGTAGAGGGGAGTATTGGTATATTGGGATAATGCTCTAACAAACAGCTACCCAGCCAAGGTTTGCCTGTCTTTTTTTGTTTGTTTGTTTGTTTGTTTACAAACATGGGTAAAGATAGTCTAGGGTGTTGTTGTTTTTAAACCAAAAAGGCACTTTATACATACAATTTTGTTACCTGCTTTTGAAAAATTTATAAAAAATTTAGCACCTCTCCTAATCACCATTATTTTTAATGTCTTTAAAATGAATATGGCATAATTTATTTCTTAAATATATTTTTATTGATTTCAGAGAGGAAGGGAGAGAGACAAACATCACTGATGAGAGAGAATTATTGATTGGCTGCCTCCTGCATGCCCCCTACTGGGAATCGAGTTCACAACCCGTGCCTGTGCCCTTGACTGGAATTGAACCCAGCACCCTTCAGTCAACAGACTGAAGCTCTATCTACTGAGCCAAACCGGCTAGAGCTAGCATAATTTATTTCCTCACTTCCCTGTGTTGCATATTTGGATTCCTTTCAGATTTCAACCATAATGAGGAATGCTGTAGGGAGCATCTTGACAGACATGATCTGCTCTATATTTGGGCTATTTAAAACTAACTTCCAATAGGAATACATGTATGGGAGGAGGATGTCTATATTTCTATCACATTTTATTTTCTCTCGTTATTTCTTGGATGTCATGGAGTGTTTTTTCCTAAGTTGCATGGTGTCATAGCAGTTTAGCCTCCTTCATAGCATTTTGCCACATTGAATTTCCATTCCAAATGTACTGAATTCCAAGAATTGGCACCACCACTTAGTGAAATTTGAGTGGAATTGTGAACATTTTAAAATTACAGGTTTTTAAATTATAACAGTGAATCACCAAAACCACTTGCTGCAGTTCTGATGCAGCCAGCCAGCCCAGGCTTCATGTAATACTGAGGAAGGAAGACGGGGCTTTCTGTTCACAGCTAAAGTTTGCCACTTCCATGGCCCTATTGGAACTCAGCCTACTGTTCACTTGGCAGATGGCCATGAAATTAAGAGAATCTTGATGAATGGTTTTAACTTGGGGAAGTTTTATTATTTCAAAACTTGTCCATAAATTTGGACCTTATTAATATTTTTGCATTAGTTTTTCAAGCTTCACATAATTCAAAAGTATTTTATACATATAATTTTGTAGCCTATTTACCCTTTATTTTCTTTCTTTTTTTTTTTTAAGAAATTTTTTAAAATTTATTTTAATATATTTTATTGATATTTTACAGAGAGGGAGAGAGAGGGATAGAGAGTTAGAAACATCGATGAGAGAGAATCATCGATCAGCTGCCTCTTGCACACCCCCTACTGGGGATGTGCCCACAACCAAGGTACATGCCCTTGACCAGAATCGAACCTGGGACCTCTCAGTCCTCAGGCCGACACTCTATCCACTGAGCCAAACCGGTCTCGGCAGCCCTTTATTTTCTTAGTGTAATATTTGGTGAGAGATCATTTTTCTCAGAGCCTACTTTTGGACTCCTAGCCCAGCACTCCCCTCCCTAGCCTGTTTTTTTTTTAAATTTATTTTTAAAAATATATTTTATTGATTTTTACAGAGAGGAGGGGAGAGGGATAGAGAGTTAGAAACATCAATGAGAGAGAAACATTGATCAGCTGCCTGTTGTAGTTTTTTTCTTTATTGCTCCAGTCAACAAAAGGGAAACTTTATTGAGGCACCAGGGCCATGGAGTTCAGGCAGAAGGCAGTCAGTCCTGCGGGCTCAAGGAGGTGGTGGAGAGGCCTTATTTATTAACCTTCTGGGGACACAGGTTGTTGATGTGGCCTCACGTTTTTGGGGAGTTGACAGCTTGAGGGTACAGGCAGGTGTAACACCTGTGACGTCATCTTGTCACAGTTGTACTTCTGGGAGAGCTGGAGGAGGAAGGGCTCGATGATGCCACCCTGTGGATGAAGCACCAAGTGCAGGGTGCACTCTTTCTGAATGTAGTCTGAACGAGTGCAGCCATCCTCCAGTTGTTTGCCCACAAAAAACAGGCGCTGTTGGGCAGGTGGGATGCCCTCCTCATCTTGGATTTAGGCTTTGATATTCTCAATGGGCTCAATCTCGAGGGAGATGGTCTTGCCAGTCAGAGTCTTCACAGAGATCTACATCTCTGCATCTGCTGGGGAGGCGGCTCATTGAAGAATCTTCTCTGTTTCTTACAGGCTCGTCTCTATAGCCTGCAGTCAGATCCGGCAACCTACTGCAATGAACCAGATGGTGAGGGGGTAGCTGGGGGGGGGGGGGGTGCTTGCAGGGCAGGGAGGCCAAGGGCTAAGCATCCCCTGTGTGGAGGGACCAGAGTGGAGTGAGTGTGCACCTTAGGTCTGGTGGGATGGGTGATGGTCCCTCTTCCTCCCTGAGCCCAGGCTGTCTTCATCCCTGTCTGCAAAGACTTCGACCCTTTCCCTCATCCTCAGCTCAGGCTCCCTCCCAGCCCCGCTGCCTGCCTGTTTGCTAAACCCCTGTGGTACAGCAAGCCCCAGGCTGGGAACTGGAGGTCAGAAACAAGTCAATCCCTCAACCTGGTCTAGACATTCAGGAACTTAGGAGAGGGAAACAAGACACAGTGAATAAAGCAAAGGTAGTAGATTTGGAATGACTGCTTCTATAAAATGATGGGTGCGGTGGGAACCCAGAGGGATGCCACCCAGCCTAGCCTGGGAAACTAGGATGTGACACTTGAATTGATGTTTTAAGGATGAATTAGCAGCAAATGAATTTTATCTTTAAAGAGGGGGTGGGGAGGAGGTGGGTGCTTAAGCAGAAGGTTCAGAAAGAACAGGGAGCAGCTGGCATTTGGGAAGGTTGAAGTAAAGGGAGCATGTGAGGGAATAAGAGCAGTGAGAGATGCGGTGGAAGCCACATTGGAATGCTTTGGGTGTAAGGCTAAGCAGTTTGAATTTTGTCCTAAAATGTTCAAGATAGTACTTCTTAACATTTTTAAAAAATATATTTTATTGATTTTTAACAGAGAGTAAGGGAGAGAGATAGAGAGCTAGAAACGTCGATGAGAGAGAAACATCGACCAGCCGCCTCTTGCACACCCCCTACCGGGGATGTGCCCACAACCAAGGTACATGCCCTTGACCGGAATCGAACCTGGGACCTTTCAGTCCGCAGACCGACGCTGTACCACTGAGCCAAACCGGCTTCGGCAACATTTTTTTTTTTTTTTTTTTAAGTCAAAAAGGCCTTTAAAAATCTGTTGAAAATTACAGGCCCTCTTTTAGCAAAATTTTATATGCAAAAATGAGAATTCTTGGACCGTTTGAAGTCCATCTTTGGACCATAGCTTTTAAAGCCTCCTACAGAGAACTGGTGAAGGGTTTTGAGGCCTGAGGTAGTCAGGTTTTACAATATATAAAAGAGTTCTGGGCAGTGTTGTGAAGGATGAAATGGAAGGGGAGAGAGAAGATAGGAAGATAGGTTAGGAGCCTTGGTAGCAGTCCTCACCGCAGAGATAGGGTCAGAACCTAGGAGGTGGCAGGAGGAATGAAGAGGAAAGGGTGCATGTCGAGAAGGGGAAGGGTCCTCGGGTTTCCATTGGATTCCTGGGTGGATCAGGTTGGGCAGGAAAGAAAAGGAGTTGGGTTTGCAGCACCCGTGCAAGTGGATGTGTCCAGGGGATACGTGGACCCCTGGATCCGGAGGATTTTCACGAGGGAAGCAATGGCTACCAGAGTCAGAAACTGGATTGGTCACATGAGGGAGGACAGAGAAGTAGCCATTGGATCTGGAAACATGAGTCACTGGTAACCTGAGAACAGCTCTTTGAGAGAGGAGATCCTGTGGCCAAGAGCAGTGGGCTGACAGGAGTAGGCATGGGAGAGAGGGAGTCTGCAGCCCTCCTGGAGGTCATGAAGATGCTGCGCCTGATCTCACTCACCCCTTCCCCCTCCCTTGCTTCCCACCATGGGCCAGATGGCTTTGAAAAAGACCTTATCTGTGACCAGGCTTAGGCGTGTGTTCTGTAGGCCGTGTTCTCTCCTCAGACCAGGGAACTGACCCTCAGTGTCTGTCCCTCTACAGGGCCCCCGGAATTGTTTGACGCCTGGCTTTCCCAGTTCTGCTTGGAGGAGAAGAAGGGGGAGATCTCAGAGCTTCTTGTAGGCAGCCCCTCCATCCGGGCCCTCTACACCAAGATGGTGAGGGCCCAGCTGGCAGGAGGTGGCGGGAGGTGGGAGAGACATTTCAGAGTCACCTGGCTTAGAGAGCGGTGGGAGACCCTACAGAGCCAAACCAGCCAGTTCCTGGGCCAAGAATTTTCACAGGGGAAATGATATACCAGGTTTCTGGCCATCATGGTGAGAAATGGAAGGACTGGCAAAACCTGGTGGGATTCCTGTTCTCCTGGGCCAACCTAGGCCAGGAAGATAGCAGGAGTGGGGTGTGGGTTGGAAATACTCTGGTAATCATTGCTCAGCCTCTTACTGTATTTGAAATCCAGAGTGGCTAGGAGCTGGCTGATAGGGCTGGGATGCAGACCCCGCACAACCATTCCAGATGTTTCATCTTTGCTGTCCCCTCCCTCCAGGTGCCCGCAGCTGTTTCCCATTCAGAATTCTGGCATCGGTATTTTTATAAAGTTCATCAACTGGAGCAGGTATGCTGGCCTAGCCTGGCTAGGTACTCCGCTCAGCCATGGGGGGAGTGAGCTGGATTTTGTTGAGGGAAGGAGGGCACACAGGATGCCAAGAGTTCTGGGGTTAGGACCAGATGGGAAGAGGGTGCTGTGACTGTCCTCGCTCCCCCACATTCAGGAGCAGGCCCGGAGGGATGCCCTGAAGCAGCGGGCAGAACAAAGCATCTCTGAGGAGCCTGGGTGGGAAGAGGAAGAAGGTAAGACATTGGGCAGGTAACAGGTGCTGCCTGTGGGGGACTGTCTGTCCATTCTCGCTGAATCCTGGAGAGACACGGCGCCCGGGGAAAAGGAATGAGTGTGTGCATGCTAAGGACAGGCTGAGCTGATGAGATGCTTCCCAAGGCTGGGGGGATGCTAGGTACAGAAAGCACCTAATCTGCCGTGTCCTCCGTTGTAGCAGATTACCCTGCCGGCCGTGGACCAGCTACTGCAGAGTCACATGGGATGCTTATTGAAATCCCAGAGCGCCTTATCCTCTCTTGTAAGATTCTATGGGGTTGCCAAAACCGGTTTGGCTCAGTAGTAGAGCGTCGGTCTGTGGACTGAAAGGTCCCAGGTTCGATTCCGGTCAGGGGCATGTGTGTTGGTTGCGGGCACATCCCCGGTAGGGGGTGTGCAAGAGGCAGCTGGTCGATGTTTCTCTCTCATCGATGTTTCTAGCTCTCTATCTCCCTTCCTCTCTGTAAAAAATCAATAAAATATATTTAAAAAAAAAAAAGAGTCTATGGGGTTGTGGGTTTTTTTGTTACTGTTTTTAAAATTTATTTTGAGAGAGAGAGAGAAACATCCCATGTCAGAGAGATACATCAATCAACTGCCTCATGTACATGCCCCAATGGGATTGAACCCGCAACCTGGCTCTGTGCCCTGCTGGGCAATCGAACCCATGACTTTTCGGTATACTGGCTGAGATGACATTCCAACCAACTGAGTCACACAGGCCAGGGCCAAACTTGTATTTAACAAGTAATGTTAATGCCCAGCCAGACTTGGGAATCACTGGCTTAGGGAGGGAGCTAAGCATCCTCTATGGCAGCTCAGCTTTTGACAGTGTGGGAGTGATATAATAACACATTTATTTATTAAGTGCTTATATTATACTAGAGGCCTAGTGCACGAAATCTGTGCTGAGGGGAGGGATCAGCCTTCCCCCAGCCTGCACCCTCTCCAATCTGGGACCCCTTGGGGGGCCTAAACCAGCAGTCAGACATCCCTCTCACAATCCTGGACCGCTGGCTCTTAATCACTCACCTGCCTGCCTGCCTGATTGCCCCTAACTGCACCCCCCTGCCGGCCTGGTCACTCCTAACTGCCCCCCGTTACAGTCTGGTCACCCTTACTGCCTATTTGCCCCCAACTGCTCTTCCTCCCCTCCCCCAGCCTAATTGCCCCCAACTGCTCTCCATGCTGGCCTGGTCACCTCCAACTGCTTCCACCTGACAGACTGGTCATCCCTCATGGCCCCCCTGCTGGCCTGGTTGCCCCATGCAGCCTGCTGTTCAGTTGTTTGCTTGTCCCTCACTAACCCCCCTGCGGGCCTGGTTGTAGACAGCCATCTTGTGAGGGCATATACCTAACCTGTACTAAGAGCTTTATATATATGGTCATTACCACAACTCCATTATCCTCTTTTATAAATGAGGTAAGTAAATTAAAGTTAAAGAAACACCCACAAAGTGCTTTGCCTGAGATCATATAGCCTGATCTGAACTCAAAACCGACAGAAAAAGAAAACTTAAAAGTCTTAGTTTTCTAGTCTAGAATGCCATCTTGGGCTGAATTTCTAGAAGCCGAGTGCCCACCAGATACGTGCTTGGCCTCAGGGTAAGTGAGACTTTGACAGGGAGTGTCTGCAGAAGAACCTGGTGGAAAAGGGTGAGGACTCTGTCACCCTTTCATCCTGATCAGAGCAAACTGTGGAAGAAACCGAGGCCTGTCTTCAGGGGGCTCCAGGGTTGTCTTGGGGCTAACAGGGCATATTGCCCGCTTTCCTCTTTTGACAGAGGAGCTTGCGGGCATCTCACCCACACCTCCAAAAGAGGCAAAGGTTCCTGTGGCCAAAACTTGCACATCCCTTGAAGGAGGACCTGGCCCCCAGAGTCCCTGTGAAGAGAATCCGGTGATCCCAGTCGAGCCTCCAGCAGAAGTCACCCCATCAGAGAGCAGCGAGAGCATCTCCCTCGTGACCCAGATTGCCAAACCTGCCACCACCCCTGAGGCGCCAGCACTGCCCAAGGACCTGTCCCAAAAGCTTCTAGAGGCGTCTTTGGAGGAACAGAACCCGGCTGTGGATGTGGGCGAGACTGGACCCCCGCCCCCAGCTCAGTCTAAGCCCCACACCCCTGCCGGTCGCCCCAGTGGCCCAGAGCCCAGGCCTCCAGCCAGAGTAGAGACTCTCAGGGAGGAGGTGCTCACAGACTTACGGGTGTTTGAGCTGAACTCGGACAGTGGAAAATCTACACCTTCCAACAATGGAAAGAAAGGTAAGTCAAGGCCAGAACCAGGGGAGTGTGTGGGGCAGGGCAAGTGAGAGTTGACACCTCACAAGGCAGACTGATCTCCTTGACCCTTGTGAGGATCCTAGGAGCAGCTGTCCTTTATTTGTGATACTGTTGGTGATGACAGTTACTATATATTATTCATTTGTTTATTTTTTTATTTATTTTATTTATTTTTTTTAAATATATTTTATTGATTTTTTACAGAGAGGAAGAGAGAGGGACAGAGAGTTAGAAACATCGATGAGAGAGAATCATTGATCATCTGCCTCTTGCACACCCTCTACTGGGGATGTGCCCGCAACCAAGGTACATGCCCTTGACAAGAATCGAATCCGGGACCTTTCAGTCCACAGGTTGACGCTCTGTCCACTGAGCCAAACCGGTTTCGGCTATTTTTTATTTTTAAACGTATTTTATTGACTTTTTATAGAGAGGAAGGAAGAGAGAGAAAGAAAAACATCAGTGAGAGAGAAACATCAATCAGCTGCCTCCTGCACACCCCCTACTGAGGATGTGCCTGCAACCAAGGTACATGCCCCTGACAGGGATCAAACTGTAGGCCGACACACTATCCAGTGAGCCAACCCGGTGAAGGCTACTATATATATATATCTTTTAATATATTTTATTGATTTTTCACAGAGAGGAAGAGAGAGGGATAGAGAGTTAGAAACATTGATGAGAGAAAATCATTGATCAGCTGCCTCTTGCACACCTTCCACCGGGGATGTGCCCGCAACCAAGGTACATGCCCTTGCCCGGAATCGAACCCAGAACCTTTCAGTTCGCAGGCCGACGCTCTATCCACTGAGCCAAACCGGTCCCAACAAGGGCTACTATATATTATTTATTACCTTAGTCCAATTCTAAAATACACTGATTAAAGTGCATCTTACAAAATAAGGTTTATATTAAGTCCTGTGCTAAGTTTGTAGCATTACTTTTAATTTCTCACATCTTACAAGCCAGTGAGGTCACTGTTACTGTCCTCATTTTACAGATGAAGAAAGTGAGGCTCAGAAATATTAATTAACTTGCTCAAATCACATGGCCACAAGTGGCTAGCCCAGATTCAGACCCAAGTCTGTCTGACTTGAACCCCATCCCCTTAACTACCTACCGAATTTTATCCTTTTGGACAATTTAACCTTATCTTGGGTGGGTATTCTGGTGACACTGATTGATGTCCAGGGTCTTCTCTCCTGGGTCACCTTAGAAAAGTCATTAGCTTCCCTAAGCCTTCATTAATTATTAGTATAAAATATATATAAACAAAACTTACATGTACAATTTTGAGGGTTTTTTTGTTAATCGGTTTGGCTCAATGGATAGAGCGTCGGCTTGAGGACTGAAGGGACCCGGGTTCGATTCTGGTCAAGGGCATGTACCTTGGTTGCGGGCATATCCCCAATAGGGGGTGTGCAAGAGGCAGCTGATCGATGACTCTCTCTCATCGATGTTTCTAGCGCTCTCTCTCTCTCCCTTCCTCTCTGTACAAAATCAATAAAATATATTTATTAAAAAAATATATATTTTCCATTGATTTTTAGAGAAAGTGGAAGGGAAGGAGGAGACACAGAGAGAGAAACATCAATTGGTTGCCTCCCAGGTCGAGCCTGCAACCAAGGTGTGTGCCGTTGACCAGAATCAAACATGGGACCCTTTAGGGCCTAGGGGTGTCGAACTCAATCAGAGAAGGGGCCAAAATCTAAAATCCAGCCTAAATCTCGGGCCAAATGGTTTACTGAACAGTCATAAACTGTCATTGTGATGGAAACGCAGCGGAGTGCAGTGATGACAGTGCGGTCCGGGCCACATTGCAAGGCCTGGCGGGACGGATTTGGCCTGCGGGCCTTGTGTTTGACACATGTGCTTTAGGCCGCAGGCCAGAGCTCTGTCTACTGAGCCAAACCCATCCCGGCTGCATGTACAGTTTAAAGAATAAAGTTAATGTTTCTGCGAGCCAGCTTAAGAAATAAGCTTTAGTGTCTTATCTGTATAATGGAATTTTATTCTGGAGACTTTGACTTGATGTCACTGGGGAACCTCTAACTCCTAGAATTGACGATGCCTTTGTTGTCAATTTCTTTGCCACATTCAAAAATACCTCTCTACGAGGTAGCTGATGGCCAGCAAGACCTTCCCTCAGCTCCTCACACACACATGCATCCTGTCTGCCAGCTCTCGGTACCAGTCAGCCACGAGGCTTGCCTGCTGGCACGAGAGGGACTGCTTTGCTGCAGTGGGTGGGAAACAGACCCCGCTACACCCTCCCCTGTCCCTGATGGAAACTGCAGGGTTTCTAGTTTCCAAACAGAGTGTTTCCTCTGACTGGCTCATGAGGTCATCCATTGAGCTCCTACCTATTCTTTGTGAGACACTGAGGAGGGAGGGGCAGAAGCTGCAGGCTTTGTGATGAAACATGAAGCTGTGTGGGACAGACTAGTATTGGAGAAGGTCAAAGAAAGAAGGAACATCTCGGCGTCCGCGCGTCTTTCACCGAGGAGGCCAGCATTGTCTAGGAAGCTGGGGAGTACGGGGCAGGTGCGGGGAAGTAATCCGGGCTCGGCGTGCCCACAAAGGCCATGTAGCAGAGGGCATGGGGCACACTGAAGGGGTGACGAGAGGGAGGAACAGAAGGGTGAATGGATTGGCTCAGAAATAGAACTTAAGAACGTAAGCTGAATTTAAGGTTGGACTTAGTGCCACAAAGCAGTGGGGCATGCTGCATATACTATATGCCCAACCTGTACTAAGAGCCTCTCATGGGGAGGCTCTGGGTTCAAATCCCAACTTAGCTCATAAGCCATGTGACTTCAGACAAGTAACTGATCTCTAAGCCTTCATTTACGCCTCTTATCAACTGTTTCAGGTAATTGTTTCAGGTGCTTAAGGAGAAATGCTTTGGAGAAATGATGATAATAAGAGGTACTAGTCTCTGAACACTTTCTGTATGTTCATATAGCTCTGTGCTAGGCACGATATGCATAATCACTCAATCTTCACAAAACCCCTGTGGATTCTGTGCAATATTCCCCTTTTTTTATCAGTAGGAAATAGATCAGTCACCTCCCAATTAAGTACTTAGAAAAGTATGAAATAGTCATTTAGGAGAGTGGGTGAGTAGGTGATGGATCAACAGGTAGTGTGTGGTTGCTGGGTGGGTGGTACTGAGGGCCATTGGAGGTAGTCGTCATTAACTTGGAGACACTGGTCAGCACTATTGCACTTTTGTCCAGCCAACATCACTTAACTTTGAGAAGAGGCCTTAAGGACTCCATTTGTTCATGTGCGGGTACAGGCACAGAGCAGGTGGGGAGTTGGATTTAACCAGGGTTCGTTTAGCTAGATGAAATCAGTGGAAGAAAAGGAGACAGTCAAGTACATGAAAGAAGTGATCAGAATGATGGCTTCTGGAATCCTAGCTGGACAAGCGAGGGAATAGCGATGAAAGAGGTGTAAGGTTAAAGAATTATAGGTTCCATTTAGAATCCACATGATCAGGAAAGTGAGTAGTGGGTGAAAGAGAATGGACAAAATGAGATTTGGGGGAAGATGCAGCAAAAGCTCTTAGCCGCTCCGTGTTACTGTCTGCGTGCCCTCAGGGACTCCCGGAAGGAGAGGCTGGGATTTGATGCAGAAGACCCAGCAGACATAGTTGTAGTCAGTGAGGGGAAGCCAGGGTCTTGGATGAGGGTCGGACGGTGGGAACAGCAGAGGGAGTAAATCTTAAAGGGAAGACTGGAGACTTAGAGACAGAGTGACTCCTTTCCCGATTGTGTTACTTCCTAAAATGGCATGAGGGAGGCAGTCTCTGCGCAGCAGTTTTTCCTGGGGTCCGCTGCAGTGCCCGTCTTTGCAGATTTGCTTCCTACCTGAGGTTAGTGATGAAAAACGCCATCGTGAAGTCTAAAAGGATGGTTGCATAGGTGAGTTTTCTGCCACAGGCACAGTATAATGGAGATCTTACTCTCCTTGTGTGACTGAACCGATGGTGGGACAAGGCAGGTGGCAGAGCCCCAGTTCACGTCTCTGCCACTCACACCTTCATTTTCTCATCTGTGAACCAGGACTGTGAATACCTACCTTGGAGGACGGGTGTGAATGCTCCAAAAAGTTTAGCTAGTACTCTGTTTTCTAAAGGGTCTGCCCTAGCATGTAAGCCTGCAGAAGAGAGTTTCCAATCCCTAAAGGACAGCTGAGGCTAGAGAAAGCTGTCATGGCCACGGCCACAGCTCTGAGGTGACAAATCAGCCAGGAGTCTGGCTTCCATCTCACAGGGAGCCTGCTCTGTCAGAGGGCCAGGTGGGTCCCACCAAAGTGTTCTGGAAGCTCAGGGACACTTAGTGTGGGTCAGGGGAGCTGGGTCTTGTGGCAGGCACATCTGTCCCTGACCAGCTGTGGGGCCACATGCAGCATCACTTAACTCTGAGAAGAGGCCTTAAAGACTCCATTTGTTAAATATCCAATGTGCACATATGTACGGACACCTTCCACTGATATTTATAATATTAACACTGTCTGGTGTCAAACGGAAGGCTCAAGTCCACACAGAATCACCCAGGTTCCTGCAGAATCCTGGACGAGGGTAGGACAGTGGGAGCAGAGTAGAGGGAGTAAATCTTAAAAGGAAGATTGCTGAGTGAATGAGGGGGTTGGGGGAGCAGGAGTCTGCATCCTAATAAGCTCCTCCAGTGGTTCTTTGCAAAGAGGGTAGTTTATCTTTATTTATAAAGTAAGAATGAAGCTCAGTAAGTTGCCCAAGACTACAATAAATAAAAGAGTCGGGATTCCACCCAGACTGACTTGGTGCCATAGACCATGCTCTTGCCACACTGCTTATAGCTAGCTAGGTGCCCGTAGCTAGGAAGAGAGAACAGTGTGAGACCCCTTATAAGGAATGTGGGGGCTGGGCTGAGGGAGGGTCTGAGACCCCAAACACTTGGTAAGGAGCAAGTTAGAAAAGAAATAAGGAGATATTATGAGTCATGCTGTTGGAATCAGGGGCCTACATTTTTTAAAGGTCCTTTAAAAAAAGAATTACAAAGTAATACATGTTTCTTTTGGGGGGGGGGGGAAAACACACCAAGAAAAATTTCCCCATGACCGCATCATCTAGGGATAATTATTTAGTATTTTTGTGGATATCTTACTGATCTTTTCTGCATACATCTGTGAGCATATTTCTAAAATGGAATCTTACTGCATATACTTGTTTTTACATGAACTATATTGTAGCTTTCTTCTTAGTAATAACTTTCTTTTTTAATATATTTTGTTGATTTTTTACGAAGAAGAAAAGAGAGAGGTAGAGAGTTAGAAACATCGATGAGATAGTATCATCGATCAGCTGCCTTTTGCACACCCCCTACTGGGGATGTGCCCACAACCAAGGTACATTCCCTTGACTGGAATCGAACCTGGGACCTTTCAGTTCGCAGGCCGATTCTCTATCCACTGAGCCAAACCGGTTTCGCCGTTAGTAATAACTTTCAATGTGCATTTTTAAAATATTTGCTTGTAAGAAGTCATAACCAAATATGAATTTTTAGAGCAGCGGTTGTCCAACTTTAGCAGGCATCAGAATCACCTAGAACAGGGATGGATAAACTTGTTCTGAATAGAAAACTGTATAGGTCTAGGTCACAAATATATCATATTAGGCTTTGGGGGCATACAGTCTCTGTCTAAATACTGGCTGTGCTGCTGTAGCCTCAAAGCACCCATAGGCAATGTGTGCACAACATTTTATTCCAAAACAACAGAGGCTGGATTTGGCTCATGGGCCATGGCTTACCAACCCCTGGTTTAGAGAGAGGGTCCATGAATATTTATTGAAAACGAGCTATGTGTTCTAGTCACTTGGAGTATATTGGGAAATAAAACCAATACCCTGCTGAAACCGGTTTGGCTCAGTGGATAGAGCGTTGGCTTGGGGACAGAAGGGACCCGGGTTCGATTCCGGTCAAGGGCCTGTACCTTGGTTGCGGGCATATCCCCGGTAGGGGGTGTGCAAGAGGCAACTGATCGATGACTCTCTCTCATCGATGTTTCTAACTCTCTATCCCTCTCCCTTCCTCTCTGTACAAAATAAATAAAATATATTTTTTTAAAAATTAAAAAAAAAAACACCAAAAAAACCCCACAAAAAACCAATGCCCTGCCTGCTCTTGAGGAGCTCTCATTTTAACTCCTATATTGTTAGGCAATAAATATATTAAATCTGATGGTATATGCTAGAAAGTGACAAAACAATGGAAAAAAGAACAACTTGGGCAGAGGGGAATAAGTTGCAATTTAAAAGGATGTTAGAGCCCCAAACCCGTTTGGCTCAGTGGATAGAGCGTCGCCCTGCGGACTGAAAGGTCCCTGGTTCGATTCCGGTCAAGGGCGTGTACCTTGGTTGCGGGCACATCCCTGGGTGGGGGTGTGCAGGAGGCAGCTGATCGATGTTTCTCTCTCATCAATGTTTCTGACTCTCTATCCCTCGCTCTTCCTCTCTGTAAAAAATCAATAAAATATATTAAAAAAATAAAATAAAAAATAAAAGGATGTTAGAAAATAAAAGGATGATTAGGGTAGGCCATACTTAGATGGTGAGTTTGAAGGAAGGTGTACAGGAAGTTAGAAGTTGGCTTGTGGATGTAGGAGAATTCCAGGTATAGGGAACAGCCCATGCAAAGGCCCTGCAGTGGGAATGTGCCTGCTGTTTTATTATAGATGTAGCAAGAAGAGTGTAGGCAGAACAGAGGAAGTAAAGAGGAAGAGGTTCATTGTTTATTCTGGGAGATTTTTGTGGCTCCCAGGGAACCTTGGAACCAAAGTGCTCAGTAACTTGCTTTTCCTCATTTAATAGTATCGTTTTGTGGGTTTTTAAAAAATATATATTTTATTGATTTTTTTTTTTACAGAGAGGAGGAGAGAGGGATAGAGAGCTAGAAACATCGTTGAGAGAGAAACATCAACCAGCTGCCTCTTGCACACCCCCCTACCAGGGATGTGCCCACAACCAATGTACATACCCTTGACCGGAATCGAACCTGGGACCTTTCAGTCTGCAGACTGACGCTCTACCACTGAGCCAAACCGGTTTCGGCAATAGTATAGTTTAATACTATTTGTCATGTATATGTTCTGCAGTCTAACCTTTAAAAGCCACATAACGTTCCATCACATCACTGCACTATTTACATTTGTAATTCTCTTGTCAGTGGATTTTCAGGTGGTTTTTTTAAGTTTTTCATCACTATAGTAGCACTAGCAGGGGTCCTCAAACTTTTTAAAGTGGGGGCCAGATCACGGTCCCTCAGAGAGCTGGAGGGCCGGACTATATGAACTACTAATTCCTACTGTTACACCTCGGCTGCGCTCACTGCCCAAAAAACCTGGCGAGCCGGATCAGACTCCTCTGCGGGCCGCATGTGGCCCGCGGGCCGTAGTTTGAAGACGCCTGCACTACAGTGAACATTCTTTTGGCTAAATTTTTTTTTACTGTATCTAGGATTTTTCCTTAGATTCCTAAAGGTGGGAAGTGGGCTAGAACAGCAGCAGAAGGCAAAGACCTTTGTTGTGTCTTTGTCAGGTCCTTTTAAAGAATGCCATTATCTCCAGCTTTGACCTCTTCACATACCACTCTGACTTCGACACTGTGGATTTTGGTTCTAGGCTCAAGCACAGACATCAGCGAGGACTGGGAGAAGGACTTTGACTTGGACATGACCGAAGAAGAAGTGCAGATGGCACTTTCCAAAGTGGATGCCTCTGGTGAGGTGAGTGGACCCGGTTGGCCACAGGGAAGCACGCCCAGCGATCCCAGGGTCTGAGGCCTCTCCCGCTCCAGCCCAGCTGTCCCCTCAGGGGGATGGGTCCCTGAGCCTCTCTGAGGTGGCAGGTGAGAGAGAGAGCTGGGACCTCCCACTCGGGCCCTGAGCAGTTGTCATTGGATGGAAGAAAGGGAGAGTTCCTGGCATTACTCTGTGTCAGAATCACCAAGGAACCATTAAAAAATAGAGATGCCAAACCCTGCTCCAGATCTGACTCATGGTCCCCCAGGTTGGGACCTGAGCAGATTTCTAGTCTTGGGAGACAAAAGACAGTGTGATCTAGGGCTGATCACTTAGCCTGAAACATGAAATTGATCATGATAAGCTTGTCAGCTGTGACAGACAATGATCGACACAATGGGACTTGGGAGCACTAGTATATGTTACCAAAACCAACACAAGACCCAGTTCAGCTATGAGCTCTTCCTTCACTACCTCTCAAAATGAAAAAATGGCTCATTTTGAATGAGAGCCTAGGGATAAACCTCTCATAGCTAGTAAACAACAGGCATATGATTCAAGTCTGTGTTACTTCCATCGTCCACCATGTAACTCATGCACCTGCTAGAGAGGTAAATGGATTAGAGGCGCAGGGAGGGCCTTGTTTTTCTGATTGGAAAACGAGCCTGAGAGGAGGCAGTGAGCCATGCGAGAGCATCTTGTACCTGTGCCTTCATGATACCCCAAGGCAGAAAGGCCCTGCTGGCCTGTCATGGCTTTTGTGTCTTTGCAGCCTTCTTTTAAAGCCTGACATCCACTCTTCCAGAGCAGTTATTTTGTAACTTGCCATAGGGGATCGGCAGGCAGCAGGCCAAGAGAAAGTTGCTGGGAAGATTTTAGCTAAGGACTGGGGTGCCTGAGCCCCTAGTGAGGCCCTGTAAGCACCTGCAGTCCAGAGCCACCCTTGCTTCTAATTGAGTGCCACCCTCCAGCTCTCTGCCTCTCTGAACCATCTTCGTAGCTGCTCAACAGGAGACAAGTTTTCGTTACTGTCCCCCTTGTAGGACAAGTGTTGGTTGGTGGAAACATTTCCTTTGGGTCTGGAATGATCAGAGAAGCAGACTCACCGCTTAGATAGAGGGCAGCTCTGCTCCCAGACACATTCCTTAAGACTGGGGTTCACTCTCGTGGGCAGCTGAGGGCTTGGGGCTATCTGGAAATGGAGGCAGCAAGGGGAGCTCTGGGTCTAGGTTTGACTTAGAGGAATAAACTGGTATTTGTGCTCTCCATTGTCCTCTCCCATTTGCAGCTGGAAGATGTAGAGTGGGAGGACTGGGAATGAGGGAGCCAGAACAAGCGGCTCCCCCTCCCACAGGACCTCCCATTTCCCTCGGTCGTCTCAGCCCAGCCCTGGAAGACACTGACCAAGAATGTCCCCCAAATGGCCTCAACCAGAGCTCTAGGCACAGATTCTGGGTTGCTTCTTGCTGGCCCTGGGGGCCCCTGCTCACATCTGGGAAGGGGCTCACAAACCAAGAACTCTGACTTGTGCCAACCATAGGACGACCCTCACCGGAAGAGCCTACATTTTTATGCTGAATTCCCTGTTCCTGGGGACTCTTGCTGGGAAGTCCCAAGGGACAGCTCCATCCCTTCTGCCTCTGTGGACAGGAGCTGAACCACCAGTCTCTTGGAAGAAGCCAAGTCAACACACTGTCCACCCATAAGCAGGCAGGGAAGGACATGCCACCTGCCATTGGCTAGATAGGGATGACAACCTGTTTGGTTCTTATTCCAGTGGGTAAGAGACATTTGATTCTGGGGAATTAGCCTCTCTTGGGAATCTCCTCTTCCCAGGCATTTTCCATTCCCAGAAAGGTTCCTTGTGGTTCAGAATCTAGAGACCAAACCCATCTCCTTTCATCCAGCCCAGCTGGTATGTCCCCCACACTTTTCCCAGGGCTTCTTCATGTCGGATGCACCCAAGTCCTTAGCCCAGCTGTGCCACCTGCAAGACTCTACTCTTGCTTTTCTTCCCCTCCCCATGAAGGGAGGGGCCCCTTCAGGCCCTTCTGTACGATGCCTGGGGGTACTTTGTCCAGCCAGCTACCCACCTCAATTCACCTGGATCTTAGGACACAAGCCAGCTCGCAGTGGCACAGAGCAGTGATCAAAGCTGAGTACTTACAACTCTGGTAAGCCCAATTTCTCTGCCTCAGCCCTTCTGCTTCTAGAAGGGATGTGCTGGGGTGAATTCTTGAGACTCATCAGGCTTCTGAAAAAGCTCTTCTTGAAGGCAGACCCATCTTTGTCTCTCTCACCCTCCACTCTGCTAACGCAGCCCCTCTAGGGGAATGCGGGCTGCAGGGATCCCTGGAGGTCTTGGCGCTGACAGGGCTGCTCTGGTGTTCCAGTGCAGAGTCTGGTGCTCACCAGTGATTTAATGGGAGCATGGCTGGGATCCCCAGGAGTGAGGGGGTGGGGTGGAGAGAATGCTGAATCTTTGTGATGGGATGGGGTTTTTCTCTTTGTAATTATTTCTTTAGTTTAATCTATCTTTTGGTTGTTTGTGCAATATTATATATTTTAAATTATAATGCATCTCTCCAGAGTATTTTGTAGCTGGGAAAAGAAAAAGAAAAAAGGAGAAAAAAAAGATTCTAACAGCTGTTAGTTTTGTAATTAAAAAAGAAAGAAAAAAGAACTTTGTTCTGACCTTTTCCAGACTGTCGTTAACAGCATTAAAGAAGTCAACAGAAGCTGGAAGATGCCTGGGGTCTGTTCTTGTCCCCCATGGCAGCTGGGCAGGACAGTCACAATGTGCAGAGTGGCTTCCTGCTTAGAATCTGGTGGGGGCGGGGGAGAGGGAGGAAGGGGTGGGGGCCTGGGTTCTGAGGGCGTCCCTGTCCTCATCTCAGACTCCGCTTGGCCTTTGGAATGAGAAGGGGCAGGACTTCCAACAGGCTTCTCATCAAGACTAGAAGTCAAGAGGCCAGTTCTGCATCCCCAGTGCTTCTGCTTTTATTTGGAAAGGAAGTTGCAACAACAGTGGCTCCAATTGCTCTTGGTTATTGTTCTCCTCCTCCCCTCCCCCCGTATATGTATGATTCTGGGGTCTAATTTAATTAACTTTAGTTAAATGCCCGTATGAAAATCACTTGTCAGTCATAATAAAAGGGAAGTCTGAATGAGGCCCTCTGGTTCCTTGAAGATCTTTCAAGGGAAGAAAAGTAAGGCGGGGAGGGTGTAGGTAAGTTTTAGGATAAGTAAACTTAACGTGTGAACTATATACCACCAGTTCAGAAGCGGGTTTTGGGTTTGCTTTCTCCCCTGCTTTATTGGGGAGGACTTGCCATTGCTTTTATGAAGTGCTTGCTAGCCATGGATGCCAACTAACTTCTTCGATTGAAGGCCGGAGGATCATGTCTGGTTCCAGGAGCTGCTTGAGCAAGTCCTGGCACTCGGCCGAGATGCCCAGGTGAGTGGGGAAGGACACCCCCTTCTGCTGCTGCCACAGCATCTTGGGAATGTCCGTGTCATCGAAAGGTAGGCTGGCGCAGAGCATGACGTAGAGGACGACGCCCATGCTCCAGACATCGCCCTTCTTGCTATCGTGCGGGATGCCCTGCAGCACCTCGGGGGCGGCGTAGGCTGTGCTGCCGCAGAAGGTCTGGCTCAGCTCCCGGCGCGACTTGGGCAGCACCTTGGCGAAGCCAAAGTCCGTCAGCTTCAGGTTGCTGCCCTGCAGCAAGGCGTTCTCACACTTGAGGTCCCGGTGGGCCACCCCGCAGCCATGGCAGTAGCGGATGGCCTCGACCATCTGGCAGAAGAGGGCCTTGGCTCGGCTCTCGGGCAGAGGCCCCCCGTTCAGCACACAGTCAAATACATCCCCTCCCTCGGCCAGCTCCATCACCAGGTAGATTTTACCGTCGGCAGACTCCAGCATCTCGTACACCTGGATGATGTTCTTGTGGTCCAGGGTGCGGACGATCTGGAGCTCCCGAGGCAGGAATCTCTGGATAAATTCTGAGGAGACGAGGGGAAAGGATGGTATCAGTCCAGAAGAGCCTAACTTCTCCCTCCCGCCTTCTGCCCTCCAACGTGTCTTCTAGTCACAATGTCAACTTCCCTTTAACAGTTTTAAACACCTAGATGCTTGGACTGTACAAAGAATATCTTATTTTTGTAGTTAATACGTTATTCAAAGGAGCTACATGCCAACCTCAAGGACTGTTGTGAGCACCCTGTGAGACCGTGGACATCCCAGTGCTTGGGGATTGTCAGAGCCACTGACACTCATATTCTGAGGCCTGGTTTGCTCACAGGGTGGGGACCCAGCTCCTCTCACCCCTGCCTCCTGACCCAGTTCTTCCCATGAGCCAGTCCCTCTCCCATCTCCACCACCTCCACACCAGCCCCTGCCCTCTGGTAGCCTGATCATGCCTCCGCTGGTCTCTGTTCCCCTGATGGGCTTGGCTTCTGCCTCCGAGGACCCTTCACCTCCTGCCATTTTAATCATAGATTTTGGAAGGTGTGATGTTCCTGGATTCCCAACATCCCTCTGTTCCCCACGGACCTGCGCCAGAGCCACAATCACTCTTGTTTTCCCTTGGCCTTTAAAGGGGAAGAGGAGTGATCCTTCTGACTGGAGGAAGCCCCCACCCAGGTCCGCCAGCCCTCCCTCCTTCCCTCCCTCGGGCCCCAGCTCACCTTCTGGCCCTCCCATCTTGTCTATAATTTTAATTGCCACCTTTCTTTGGTGTTTTTTGGAAAATGCTTCCTTGACTTTTGAGTAGGTCCCTTCCCCAATGGTCTTGCCGAGCTGGTACCCATTGGAGAGCAGAAAGTCCTCCATGCTGTGTAGCGTCTCCTTCCTATCACCCTCTCAGCTCATGCTGCCTCTGTGAGGCAGCTCTACTCCACCATAGCCCTTGGCCGGGTCCTCTTCTCCCCAAGGACTTCATCCACGGCAGCCCCTATCGCTAGAACATTCAGCCGCAGATGGTGGGGAGGGAGAGGGCCAGACATTTTTAAACTCCAGCCCAATTGTGATGTAAATGATGTGTGACCCTGGGCCAAAATGGATAGCGCCCCTATCTGCCCTCGCCGGACCCGGCACCGGTTAGGCATCGCTGCCCCCCCACCCCAAGCCCGGCGGGGGGCTGCGGCCCGGCCCGGAGGGGAGGCGCTCCCCGGCCCGGGCCGCCGGAACGCCAGCTCCTTTTCCCGGACGCCGCCGGGTGCTGTAGCCGCCGGCGCCCCCATCGGGCCGCCGGGGGGCCGCGCCGCCCAGCCACCCGGCGCCGTGGCCGGAACCCCCCGGCCTCCCGCGGGCGGCGGGCGGCGGGCGGGCGGGCTCCCCGGCGGGAGGAACGGGCTCTGTGAGGTCAGCGCGCAGGGCCCGGGTCACAATGCAGCCCTCCCCGCCGACGCCCGCGTCCGCCCGCGCCGCAGACACCTGCCCGGCCCCGCCTGGACCGGAGCGCCCCCCCGCGGCCCGGGCTCCGGCAGCTGCGTCCGGCCTGGGACTGGCCTCGGCCGCCAGCAGGTGAGGGGGCCCGGGCGCGGCGCGGGGAGGGGGCGCCCGGGGCCCGCAGCGCCCTGACCGGCCCTCCCCGCGCAGAGCGACCCGGGGCCTGGACATGAGTGCCCAGGAGCCCCCTCAGGGTCGGAGATTCCCCATTGAGGCCGGAGACTCCCCTGGCCTTGCCGCCACCCCTGAGTCCCAGGACAACCCCGAGCCGGTAGCGACGGAGCACAACCGGGTCAGGTGAGCGGCGCCCTCCTTCCCCTCCCTTGCCCTCCCTCCCCTCCCTTGCCCTCCCTCCTCTGCCCTCTCCTCTCCCCTCCCCCGCGGCCCCCCTGCGCCCCCGGCTCGTCCCTGTCCCCACCCCCAGTCCACCGCCCCACCTCGGAGACCGGTGCGCTCCGGCGAGGCCCACAGCGCCCCCTGTCGCGCCGCCCGCAGGCCGCTTCGCCGCTGCCCGGGCTGCCACTGTCTGACGCTGCTGCACGTGCCCATCGACGTCTACCTGGCCATGGGCGGGAGCCCCCGGGCCCGCGCCACCTGAGCGCCCCGCACGTCGCGCGCGCCGAGCATGAGACAATGATGCACATTTTAAAATAAAGAATGATGCACATTTTAATAAAGCACAGCATAAACTGTTCTTTCCACTCCGGGCTGGCCGTGTATGTCTGTCCCGTCGGATCGGGCCGCGGACTTCTCTACTTCATCCCACGGTGCCTTCCCTTAGGCTGCCTCCTCCCCTGGATCCTCCCAGCCCCGGGGCTCCCCCTTCCCATTACTGTCTCCTGGCGGGTGCCCACCCTTCCCCCTTTTCTTGCTAGTCATGCATGACCGCTTCTCAGGCAACCTTTCCTTTCCGACCCTTTCCCCTTATCCTCTCCCCCCATCTCTCTCATGGTCTCCAGGGAAAGTTGTGTTACTGTGCTCCCGGCCTAGTAACTGGAGGGGATGGGCGGACAACTTGAATAAAGAGAATGACCACCCACATCAGGCTCATTCAATTCTCCCAAGATGCACTTGGGTTTTGCTTCCTGCTGTTTTGTAACCCTGGGCATCTCTGGTTTTGGTGAAAGAGTTAGGGGTTGCCTCTTCTATTTTGACTCTTGGTTTCTCCTAGAACCGATGGGACCAGAAAAAGTTTGGGAAATAGGTCATTTGAAAATTGATTTCTTATACTTTTTTACAGGTGAGGAAACTGAGCCTTGAGAGCCTTGCCTAGGGTCCCCCAACTGACAGGTGATGCTATCACATTCCTGTGTCCTCAAACGCAATGCCCTAAAAGCCATTGAGGGCCCATGACAGGAAGTTGCCTGGAAGTGTAGTAATTAAGCTGAACAAGTATTTTCCACTTTCCAATTTTGCTTTAATGTACCTGTATTATTTTAATACTAGAGGCCCGGTGGATGGGGGGGGGGGGGTCCCTCAGCCCAACCTGCACCCTCTCCAGTCTGGGACCCCAAGAGATGTCCAACTGCTCTTTTAGGCCCAATCCCACCTCAACGGGCAGTCAGACATCCCCTCACAATCCAGGACTGCTGGCTCCCAACTACTCACCTGCCTGCCTGACTGCCCCTAATTACCTCTGCCTGCCAGCCTGATCACCTCCTAACCACTCCCTTGCTGGCCTGGTCGCCCCCAACTGCCCTCCCCTGCAGGCCTGGTCACCCCACACTGCCCTCCTATGCTGACCTGATCGCCTACAACTGCCCTCCCTTGCCGGCCATCTTGTGGCAGCCATCTTGTGTCCACATGGGGGTGGCCATCTTGTGTGTTGGAGTGATGGTCAATTTCCATAGTACCTCTTTTTTTTAGATTTTTTAAAATATATTTTATTGATTTTTTACAGAGAGGAAGAGAGAAAGAGTTAGAAACATCAATAAGAGAGAATCATCGATCATCTGCCTCTTGCACACCCCCTACTGGGGATGTGCCCGCAACCAAGGTACATGCCCTTGACTGGAATCGAACCCAGGACCTTTCAGTCCGCAGGCTGACGCTCTATCCACTGAGCCATACTTGTTCTGGCTCCATAGTATCTCTTAATTATAGGATTGGAAAAATATATGTAAGCCAAAGATCAGGTTCAGTCGCTTGTCTCCTGAGATCTAAGTACCATTGACTTAATTTCCCTCCCCTGATTGCATAGGAAAGAAGGCCAAGCTGTCCCAGAATCCCAGCGTCACTGTAAGGTGACTTCTTGACTTCCACACAAATGCTCTCCTAGGCAGTGCCAAATGTGGGAGGCTTATTGGAGAGGATGTTGGCCAAAAGGTCTACTTTGAAGTGAGGACTTTACTTGGCCATTCAGCTCCTGGTCCTTTAAGACAGTGGTCTGTGAGGTCCGAAAGTTTGGTGACGGCTGCTTTCAGACGTCCTGGTACTTGGAAGCCCCCCCATACCTCTTTCTCTCCACCATAACAACCCTGGCATCAGGCACGAGTGCTGGCTTTTCTCTCCGCCTTCACTGCTCCTCCTCCACCCGTACCTCCTGGAAAACCCCTCAGGGACTCTCAGTTCTGGTAAGTGGAATAATCCAGCTGTTTCTATCCCCACCAAACTTAATGTCAGCCTCTGCAGCCTGACAATCTGTGCTGCTGCTCTGCAGAAAAAGGACCTCGTTCCCTGTAAACGGAACTCGCCCTCCTCAGCAGGATGTTTTCGTTTTAAGGGAGAAAACAATTATCAGGCTCTGTATTGATAGGGTCTCACCACTGAGAGCAACTGATGTTAGTTTGAGCTAAAAGGAACTAGTTATTTAAGTATCTTGGAAGGATATAAGCTGTCCAAGTCCAAGGCTCCTCATTGCCATAGAATTTAGGAACCAGGGCATTTATCTGGCTGTAACCAAGGATTCAATCCCACCAGGACTGCCCCATTGTTCCTCTCTCATCCCACATGACCTCCTGGGCAGGCAGCACGTCCACAAGCAACTTAGAAATCCCAAGAAGGGAGAGATGTCTTCTCCCAGTCTCTGTATATCCACCCATAGAGGGACAGCAATTGGCCATTCTTAAATCACGTGTGCACACCTTGGGCCAATTACCACTGCCAAGAGGATGGGAGACTGTCATTGACAGGCTGGGCCCAGGTAAGCCTTTCCTTGAGGTGCAGGCAAGCACAGCCAGGTGACTGACAGCATCACCAGAAAATAACGGGTAAAGATGGAGGGGAAAAAACAAACCAGGAGCAGAGACAGCTTACGCAAAGATTGGAAAATTGGAATGCCTGGAGTAAAAGAGGCCAGAAAAGAAAGGGTAGAGAGTGACAGGGGCCAGGTGACAACTCCGTTCTATGGCAATGAGGAGCCTTAGACGGTATGACCAGATGTCAGGCCTCTGGGTTCTACAATAGTTCAGGCTTTGTCCCTGGCCCAGACAATACAGGTCCACCAGGCCAGTGCAGGGCACTGCAGACTCAGTGGTGAACTTGACCAGCACGGGCCTTGGCCCTCATAGAACTCACATGGCCTAGCCTACCATCAACCACCAGGGTCCTCACTCAGGCAAGGCCCTTCCTTCCCTCAGGGCCCCTTTCAAAAAAAAAAAAAAAAAGGCACTGGCTGATTTCTTTGGACTTTGCCAGCCCCATAATGCTGAATCCTTCCCATCTTCCTGTCTCCCATCCTTCTTACTTCCTTTGTCCCATCTTCTCAACCTTCCTTTCCTTAAAAAAATATATATATAGCCGAAACCGGTTTGGCTCAGTGGTAGAGCGTCAGTCTGTGGACTGAAAGATCCTGGGTTCGATTCCGGTCAAGGGCATGTACCTTGGTTGCGGGCACATCCCCACTAGGGGGTGTACAAGCTGATCGATGATTCTCTCTCATCGATGTTTTAACTCTCTATTCCTCTCTGTAAAAAATCAAAAAAATATTTTTAAAAAAAGTAATATATATATACACACTTGTGTGTGTGTGTGTGTATATATCCTCCTCCCATGTGCTTGGATAGTGAGGGATGCAAAGATTCCAGACGCATTCGTTGCCGATGGGCCAGACCCTGGAGCTAGTTAGGTCTAGACTCTAGAATGTCCATGAGAAAGGGCATTCTGGAAGGAACGCTGTGGACAAAGGCAGGAGGCAGAAAAGTGCAGGGCAAGTTCAAGGAATTCAGTTCAATCGGCTTTCACCAATACCCGCCGGGCCACACCCTGCGCTGAGCGCCCAGGCCTGAATCTGACCACGTGCCCTGGCAGAGCTCAGAATGCAGGGACCCAGGAGCGAGCTCACAGAAGAGAAGCTGGACTGAGACACTGAGTCTGAACCTTGTTCTGCAGGTGATGGAGCACAGCAGGCTCCAATCTGGATCACGTCTCTCTCCTACTTCTCATCTTCTCCATTCTGTCCTCGGCCGCTGTTCTTCTTTCCCACTGAGAAAGCCACTGGCCTAAATTCTAGTCCTGGGTTTGAGTTCTGACTACCATTCACAAGCTGTGCAACCTTGGGCGACTTAGCCTCTCTGAGTCTCCATTTCCAAGTCTGTAAAATGAGATTAATGACACCTGGTGGGAGGTTTCAGTACAGTGAGCACAGCATCAGGCAGGCATCACTCGAAGACGGAGAGAGGCTGCTGCTGCTCCTACCGTTGGCTTCAGGGGGCAGCAGAGAGCCGGCCAGCCAAGTCCCTAGGGGCTGGGTGATGCCCAGCCAGGGAGGGGCCTGGGGAATCCCTCTTGCCTCTCTCTGCCAGCTTCCCAGCAGTTCTGCTCAGAAACCTACAAACTTGTTAGGGGGATATTTCCAGGGAATCCCCAAGTGGTAAGAGCAGAGTTGCCTCCCTCACTTGATAGGGTAAAGCTGTCCCCGGGTCCCAAAGCAGGACCCCAGATCCCAGCCTTATTGTCTGGGCCTAAGGAATGGGGAGGGGCCCTGGGAAAAGGGGATGCCTTCCCTCATTCTCTCAGACACCTTATTAGCCAGCCCCTCCCTCAGGACTCCCTTTTAGAAGGAGGGGGTGAAGTACAGATGGACACCCAGGTTGCCATGGAGACGGCAGAGGAAGGGTTGCTGTGTCGTCATGGCAACAATTGACGTCAGCACCATCTTTTCCCATTGCTTGATATGAAATCGGGGCAGGCCACCCCAACCACAAGCGAGTTCCCATAAAACCTTCTCCTCTTACTGAGCCAATCAACCAGGGGTCCACAGGCTTAATATAGTGCTGGAGTTAAAAGCACAGACTCTGACGCCAGTTCCAATCCTCCTCCTGCCTCATTTTAGCTGTGCGAATTTGAGCAAATTCCTTAAGCCCTGAAAGTCTCCGATGTACAATGCGGGTACATAAGCTGGGGAGCTCCAGGTGTGTGAGGACCCCAGTCCCGGAGAATTGTGCAGGCAGTGGGCACTGGGCCATCTCGTGTGAAGTGCACACTGATGTCAGGGCCTGTCCAGAGTCCTGGAGGCCTGTCAGGGGGTGATGGGCCTCCAGATATAGACTCACAGACCCTAGAAGGTTCCTGAGACTTCCAAGGACTAGGTCCCAGACACTGAGCATCTCAAAATTTGGGGGTCAGAGTAGAGCCAGAGACAGTGGAATGTCCAGACTCTGAGGAAACCATCTCAGAGTGGAGCCAGAGACAGTGGAATGTCCAGACTCTGAGGAAACCCCATCACATCTGGACTCTGACCCAACTTCCCTTTTGTTCTCCCATCTGCCTCATCTGAGTCGTCTTAGCAGCCTCTTCCTTTTGGGCCTCCACCTGCTCCTTTGGGAAAATGATGAATGAGCCGAAACCAGTTTGGCTCAGTGGATAGAGCATCGGTCTGTGGACTAAAAGGTCCCAGGTTCGATTCTGGTCAAGGGCATGTACCTTGGTTGCGGGCACATCCCCGGTAGGGGGTGTGTAAGAATTAGCTGATCAATGATTCTCTCTCATCGATGTTTCTAACTCTCTATCCCTCTCTCTTTCTCTCTGTGAAAAATCAATAAAATATATTAAAAAAGAAAGAAAAATGATGAATGAGGGCCCCTGGGAAGACTCAGGAAACCCCAAACCAGGTAGATCAGCGAGTCGGACGCCACAGGGATATGGGTGTCCCAGCTCCCATGGTCTCTCCCCACCCACCCTTGGGGTAGGGCGCCAGAATCATTCTCATTCCCTCTCTCCCAAGCCCAGTCCAGACGGCCACAGTCCATCCTGCCACCTCTCTGAATCAACCCCTGGTAGCTACTCATCTGGATTCCTCCAGCAGTCTCTTAACCTGGCCCTCTGGTTTCCTCCTCGCCTGATTCCTCCAGTCTGGACTTGTTTCATAAAGACCACAAACCAGCAGTGCCGTCCTCCTATTTAAATCTCACCATGGCTTCTTTACGTCACTTGTCAGCCACATGGGACACCCCTCAGCTCTTCACTAAACACATTTCCCACCTTTAAGCACACGGGTCCTTCTGTCCAGGATGGCCTTCTTTCCACTCCCACTGACCCTTCCGATCTCCACCAACTGTCACTTCTCAAGTCTCCTCTGCCCCCCGTTTCAGCCCTCCCCTAACCTAGCTATCCCACTGGGTGCTTACACTGCTCTTTAGCCCCTGTCGAATGGCTGTCTAGCCCATTACGATATGGATTCAGTGAGGGCAGGGGCCTTCGACATATTCATCCTGACACCCCCAGGGCCGAAAATGGGAGGGCTAAGGATTCTGTAGAATGTCTGCGGATTGGATTAGCTAGCGAATGGCTGCTTGATAAGTCCACAGAGGAGAGGGCACAGGGCTGCAGGAGAAGGAAAAGCAGCGCCAGCTGGAGGTGTCCAGAATGGCTTGCCTAAGGAACTGACACTGGAACTGAGATAAGAAGCAGTTACCCAGGCAAAAACTCAGGGGTGGGAGACGTCCCAGCACTGCGATGGGTGTGTGCCAGGGGTGAACTTTTTGCTGAGGACACTGTGCGGAGGGACATACTCATGTTTGGAAAGACAATCCTGGTTGCTTTGTGGGAACAGACCACCCCAGAGATCCAGTGGCAGCAGGAGACAATTCAGAAGGCTGCTGAGCCTCCCAGGTGCAAGGCGACAGGTACTGGGACCAGGTGTCAGCAGTGGAAACGGAGAGAAGCAGTGGGATTTGGATGTCTCAGAGAGGACAGGATTTTGCAGCTCCTTGAATATGGAAAGGGAAGATATAAAACCAAGCCCAGGTTTCTAGTTCAGGCATCTGAGAACAGGACCAAGCTGGGGAACCTAAGAGGAAGGGCAGGGGCTGGGCTTGTCTCCTGTGAGGTGGGACGTCTAGGGGAGGGGTCCCAGAGACGGTGTGGAGCAGAGAAGAGCGGTGAGGGCTGAGAAGTGAGTCTCTGACACAGATGGACACCAACGGCATGGGAACGGAGGAGATGAGATTCCCTTGGGACTGACTGCGGAGGGTCCGGGATGAGAAATCTGCCATGTGGCCGCAATCGGTAAGATAAGAAAACCAAGCGTGCAGTGTCCAGAAAAACAAGGACACTAAAGTACTTCAAGCAGGAGACAGAATGTGACTGTGCCGAAGTCACCACGGCTAAGAGGTCACGTCAGAGAAGGCCCTGAGAGCATCCTTTGGATTTAGCCACAAGGAGGTCAGTGGTGACCTTGGTGAGGGAAGGTGGGGGCGGGAGCCACACTGTGAGTGCGGAGGCAGAAAGAGAGGGTGCACACAGCTCTTCCGAGAACGTTGGCGGTGAAGGGGTCTAGAGACGGACACAGGGTTGAAGGAGGGCTTTCTTTTTCCAAGATAGGAAGGACTACAGCCTGTCTGTCTGGGCTGGGAAGGAACCGCCAGGGAGGGAAAGGTTGGAGAGAAAGAAGGGGAAGGAGAGGAGATTCCCTAAGGAAGAAAAAGAGATTCAATCCCCAAGTGTGGTTGCACAATTTTTTTTTTTGGGGGGGGGGGGGGCAAGTCAGGACCTGTACTGGACTCTGGGGGCTCAAAACAGCTGCCCACTCTCCCCAGCAGCCAGGATGAGTCACTGGGGGGGAAACAGCCCAAAGTGGCAGAGTGGGAAAGGGAGCTGGGCCAGAACGTTCCTCAGGATCCCAAGGGGTTGAGGGCTGTGCCCGAACCCCATGCTCTGAGCAGGGTTGAGAGGGGTTTGTGGGGGGGGAGGGGGGGTATCAAACAGAGTAGTAGGAAGCCAAGGTTCTCCTTTTGGCTTTTCTCTACTCCTCTTTGAACCTGCTTCCCTTTCTGCAGAGAGAGGGTTAGACCAGATTAAGGACTTTTTTAGGGGGAGGGGAGGTAGCGAGGAACGCTTTCTAGATTCTTTCCAGAAATATACTTGTGTCTGGAACTTTGCAGACAGCTTAGGGGTCCTGAAGCTCCCAGAAACGCATTCCTGAACTAGATAACAATTCCTGAACTCCAGCTGGCCAGAGCCTCTGACATGTAAGAGTGCCCTGGGGCAGGGGGAAAGGCTCTTAAAGGGCCAAGCAGGGCTCCTACACCTGGGGGCAGGGAGGCCTTTTGAGGTGTGGGTTCTACCTGCGCATGAGAGCGGAACAGAGGTTTATTCAACCGGCAGCTGACCTTCCTGCCCTCAGCCCCCTCTGCCCGTCCTTGCCCTTGTGACCCCGGTCCGGGGAAGTGTCCCGGGGCCGCTGAGGATCTGGTGACCAGCTCTCCCATAAAGCAGCTGGTGAAGTCAGACAGCAGACTGGACCCGCCTGAGGTGTTTTTAGCAGGAGGTGCCCCCACCCACCTGCCAGCTGAGGCTCCTGCTAAAAACAGCCGGGCCCAGGGGGCCTATGGGCTTTCAGCCTCCCCCTCCGCCGGGGCAGGTATTCAAGAGGCCGAAGCCGGGCGGCCTGGACACCATGCTGTTCACCGAGAAGGCCCACTTCGTGGTGAATTTCCTTCTCTCCCGGGGAAGGGCCTGGGGAGGGCGCTGGCAGTATCCGGGGCCCTGGACTGGCAGGTGGGGGAAGGAGGGCCAGACCCTTGGGGAGACCCATGGGAGCCTCCAATCCCCTCCCAGACCCTCTGGATTGACCAGGAGGGAACCCGGCCTTCGCCTCGTCTTCTCTGATTCGGGGCGGCCCCTCCTCCCGGCTCGTATCTCCTCCTGGAGTGACCGCCGCCTCGCGTCCCCAAAGGCGACCCCGGGCCGCGCCAGCGCACCGCCTGGACCAGGAGCTGTGCTTCTGGGGCTGCCGGGGCCCGCCCCCGCCGGCGCCCGCCGCCCGCCGCAGCATGGGCGACCATGGCTGAGCCCGCAGCGCCGCCTCCCGCCCGGCGCCGCGTGGCGCTGGCCGGCGCGCAACCTGCTGCTGCTGCCGCCGGGCGCCACGGGCCTGGCCGACGACCCCTCCGCGCGCGCCCGCGCCCGCGCCCGCGCCTCACGTGAGCCGGGTACCAGGGGAGAGGGGCGTGGCCTAACGTCGGGGCGGGGTCTGCGAAAATGGGCGGGTCCCTCCGCCGAAAAGCCAATCAGAAGCTGGATGTGCTGGGCTTGACGTTTCCTGTGAGCGGGAGGCGGGGCGGAACTGGGAAGGGCGGCGCCTGAGGGGCTGAGAGCGGATAAGGGGCGGGGCTAGGAGAGTAGGAGGAGCCCCGGGTAGTAGAGGAGCCTTGCTCCCTCCAGGAGCAAATCTTCCCGCCCTCCAGGTGGACGCACCGATGACAGAACATTAACTACCAATTCCTGGGCAAGAGGAAGAGACAGCTGGTTCCTTTGCGCCCGTGAGAACCGGTAAGGGGCGGGGCCGGGAGAGGGGAGACCACGGAGGGGCGTGTTGTGGGGGCGGAGCCTAAGGGAGGGCTGGGGCGGGGCAAGGCACGAGGTGGGTGCGCGGCTGCTGCAGACTTCTGGACCAGGGGGCGTTGAGCTGAAATGGAAGAGGCACGTGGGCCCGGCTAGTGTGGCTCAGAAGGCTGAGCATGGACCTATGTACTAGGTCAGGATTCGGTCAGGGCACCTGCCCCGATTGCGGGGGTCAATCCCCGGTAGGAGGCGTGCAGGGAGCAGCTGATCAATGATTCTCTTCTCATTAATGTATCTCTCTCTCCCTCTCCCTTCCTCTCTGAAATCAATATAATTTTTTTTAAAGAAGCACACTGGGTGGGGGTCTCTGCAGGGTTATTTGTCCCTGCCTTTCTCATACCACCACAAACATACAATATTTTAAAAGATTCGCATATTTTAACCATATTAAAATTCCTGTTCAGCCGAAACCGGTTTGGCTCAATGGATAGAGCGTCAGCCTGCGGACTGAAAGGTCCCAGGTTCGATTCCGGTCAAGGGCGTGTACCTTGGTTGCGAGCACATCCCCAGTGGGGGGTGTGCAAGAGGCAGCTGATGGATGATTCTCTCTCATCGATATTTCTGACTTTCTATCCCTCTCTCTTCCTCTCTGTAAAAAATCAATAAAATATATATTTTTAAAAAATTTTATGTTCGTCAGAAGACATCTAAAAAAGTAAAATACGAGTTCCAAGCAGGACTCCTCAAAAAATGCTAGCTTTGTGCCCTGCCTGAGGAGTGCTGGGACCAGGATAGGTCTTGACTTTGGGCACCAACTAGACCAGGAGTGACTCCAGGCCTTGGCCTGGTGACTAAGTGGAATGACCCCGGGGAAGGAAGGCAGGGCCCACTTGGCTGGCGCTGTCACGGCGATCACGCTTACATCTCTGTGCATCTCTGAATTTCCGCGTGGCTCAGTTTCTGTGTATCCGTCCATCTCTGGTCTCTGTGTCTGTTTATTTATTCCACAGATATGTATCAAGGGCCCTTTTTAGTGGCTTGTGTCAGGTTTATACACTGAGTCACAGGGTTCACACTTAGTGAAACGAGCAGCTGAAGTCCCTGCCCTCATGGAGCTTATATTCTGGTTGGGGAGACAGACAATAAAAAGAGGTCAGAGATCAGATGTTCTGTGTTTAAGAAGAACAAGGTGGGTCAGATGCCGCTTTACAGGTGGTGGGCGGGATTTGGTCTGTTCACAGGTCCAGAAGAGGGCCTGCCTCTTGATTGGGGCTCAGTCAGTGTTGAATGAATGCATTTGTTGGTCAGGAAGTCTTGACTGAGGAGGTTAACTCTGACAAGGCCTGCAGTATGAGGGGGTCAGCACTCCAGCCCCTGGGAAGAGTGTTCTGGACGGAGGAAACAGCGTATGTCTAGTGGGTGGCCTCTGGCCTCTGGCCGGCCGGCCCTAAGTCCCCCTATTGCCATCTCTGCTTTTGTGATCTTGGGAGCCACAGGGCAGGTTCACACAGGGCCCCTCCCAGGTGTCTGGAAGTAAGGTCACTGCAGACCTAATTCACCCCCTGAGCCATTGTTGGCCTGACTACGCTGGCCTGGCCATTTCCCTTAAACAGTGGTCGGCAAACTCATTAGTCAAAAGAGCCAAATATCAACAGTACAATGATTGAAATTCCTTTTGAGAGCCGAAAACCGACTTCTGCTCATGGGCCACGAAGTTTCGGTCTCACTGTACGTACACGCCCGCACGTGGTATTTTGTGGAAGAGCCACATTCAAGGGGCCAAACAGCCGCATGCATGTGGCTTGAGAGCCGAAGTATATGGACCACTGCCTTAAAGCAACCCCTCCCCCCAGAGCCTCGGTCCCAAGACCTCTGGCTGCTTTCCAGGGTCATATCCTGCAGCGCAGAAGGAAGTCCTTCGTCCTGTCTTACCACAGTCCCTGCTGGCTGGCCCTTTCCTCTCATCCTGCCTTGGGGGAGAGGGGAGGAGATGGGCTGGCCCTGTGGGACTGAGAGCCCAGGAAAGACCTGACAGAGTGGGGGGTATCATTCCCCAGGAGATAAACCTCAGAGGGGCAGAGGTAGTCATTCACCCTGGAAGCCTCTGCCTCGTCCATTATCTCATTTAACCCTTCACCATCCTATTTTACAGACGGAAACTCAGGCAGGCCCAGAGAGGAAAACATGGCAGAACTGGGACCAGAACCCAGGTCTCTTGATAAAGTAGAAATAATCATAACAAATAATATTTATTGATCTCTGCCAGGTACCATGCTTAAGCTTTGCATTCAATTATCTTTCCTTTTAAAAATATATATATATTTGTATTGATTTCAGAGATGTAGGGAGAGGGAGAGAGAAAAACATCAATGATGAGATTGGCTGCCTCCTGCATGCTCCACACTGGGGATCAAGCCCACAACCAGACATGTGCCCTTGATCAGGAGTCAAGCCATGACCTCCTGGTTCATAGGTCCATGCTCAACCACTGAGCCACCCTGGCTGGGCTCAGTTATCTTCCTTAAGCCTCATCATAACCCTGGGTACCATCATTATTTTCATTGTCCTCCGTGAGACGGAGGCTCAGGGCCATTAGATGACTTGCTCCAGGACACCTGCTAGTCCATGGCAGAGCAGCCGATGAGGCCAGGCGGCCTGGCATGCTCAGCGACACGCCCTGTGCCTGTGGTTCCAAAGGCGTGTCACAGATGCCTATTTTCCAGGGATTTGGGAAGACAGACTTCAGGTTCATGGCATGACGGTCCTGGAGCTGACTTGTGCCAAGCCAGCAGGAAGATGGCCTGGGAGCACTGCCCCGTCTCCTGTCCCTCTCTGAGGGTGAAGATGACCTAACTCCGACTTCTCCTGGGCTCTCTGCCCTTCGGTGCCCAAATAAAGCTGCTTCCACCTCTCTGTGGCTCTCTCAGTTCTCCTCATTCCCACACAGAGTTATACTGGACCCCAGGAGTTGGGGGGCACCTGCTGTCACCCCCAATATCCCCACTGTACCCATTCCCACCCATGAACCCCCAGTAGGGTAGACTGGATGAACAGACCTGGCTCCTGCTCTCCAGACTCTCACAGCGACAGAAAGATAAAGGCAGAGATATACCTCAGCTCAGTAAAATGCCACGGGGGTGGGGGGGACCATGACATTGGTTTCCATGAGGCACAGAGGGTCTTCTGGGCCAGAAAAGCCTTCAGGAGGGGGCCCTTGAGCTGAATCTTGATGGGTGAGCATCAAGGAAAGCACGCACACACACACACACACACACACACACACACACACGGCATGCAATGCAGGCAGAATTGGCGGCATGGAGAAAGGTCTGGTGATTTGTAGGCTGAAATGGTCATCCCACTGATGGGATGGTGAGAGTGGCAGCCAAGTGGACGTGGATAAAATGAAGCTAGCTGGACTTGGAGCTTCAAAGAAAAAAATTTATTTTTGCTTCCAAGAGTTTGAAGGCCCAAGTAGGGAGTCAGACATTCTCCAGAAGGAAGTAGGGGGACTTGGGCAGGTTCACAGCAGGGGAAGGACATGGTCCTCCTGGGGCCTCAGATTCACGCTGGCAGGCGATGGTGGTCTCCAGCCCTCCATTCGTTCCAAGGCCTGGAACCTGTCCCAGGCTCCCCTTACACACTCTCCCAGGCCCTGCCCAGGACTGAGTCCCAGCGCTGTCTTCAGGAGCACTCCTCTCTATGGATCCCGGCGAGTCATGTGGCTTCAAATTTGGGACACCCCCCCCTCCCGCCCCCCAAAAACTCCTCTGATCCGTTAACAGCGGCCTGATGTCTCCACTCTAATAAGCATCTCAAACTTTACCTCTGAGGCTGCCCTCCTACTCCCAGCACTGAGCAGACACATGTGAGAAGTGCTGAGTGGGGACCCTGAGCCCAGCGGTATGGCGGACGTGGTGGGGAGAGCCATCCCTTCCTCCAGGGAATCGGGCAGTCCTCAGGAGTGGTGTGGTCTGGGTGTTAAGAGGAAAGTAAAAACTCAGCAAGCAGAGAAGTGGAGAGAGGCGTTCTAGGTGGCGGGACGGCATGTCCACAGGCCCGGAGGTGGCAGAAGCTCAGCACTCTGAGCTAACAACCCAGCACGTCTCAAGTTCAGTGGCCTGAGGAGAAAAGGAGGAAAAGGAGGCCAGGGGCTCAGTCTCTCAGAGGCATAACCTGGCGCAGAGGGGGAGGGCCTCCGGGATGCAGGGCCCCTGGTGCGGACGAAGGGAAGGGGGATTTGTGGATGGACTGGGATGGGACAGACGGGGGCTGCAGACTGTGTGTCTTTCTGGGAAAGGTCACTAAAAGGAGGTCCCAGGGGGACACTTTGGGGTGCAAGACAAGAGGAAGAGAATCCTCAGGGTTCTGGAGAGAGGCAAATTCCTTTACCATTTAAGGACAATACTGAGCCAAACAAAGCCCTCTGAACAACTCAGTATCTGGTCAGCCTGGTCAGTCCCTCCACCCCCTGCCCCAGAGGATTGTGGATGGAGAGACTGCAAGGTTTTCTCAGGGTGGTCCTAGACCCTCGGCTCCTCTCCCCAGGGCAGGGAGGGAGGAAAGGGAGGGAATAGGCTCCCTGCTGAGTGCTAACTTTGTGTCAGCCTTTGCCTGGCAGGCCATGTAACCGAGTCTGCAAACATGGTTGAACTTCCCGGGTGCTCCTTGCCTCAGGAGTTTCAGTTTTACAGGCTTTACCGGCTGGTACTAGCTCATGTGTCTCACAGTAACCCTAAGACATGGATACTGTTATTCCCATTTTACAGATGAGAAAACTGAGGCACAGAGAGGGCCTAAAGCCACACAACTAGGATATGATGGAGCCAGCTCTTCACCACTGCCACTGGCTCAACACAATAACTCACAGAACCCTTTCCACACCTGAAGTGGCACCCAGTGGCCTCATTTTGGGGTGGGCACGGTGAGGGTAGTGTGGGGAAGGGTCCTGTTAGGGTCACAAAGCTGGAAGATAACAGTAACGTGGGTCCAGATCACTTGGAGGAAGAAGCTGAACGGAGAGGCGATGAGCAGTGTGGAGAGAAAGGGGTGGGACTGGGGACTGGTCTGGGAGAGAATTTTAGTTTCCCTTTTAAAGGGACTTCCCCTCAGTGGGGGGATTTTGACTGGAAAGTTGTAAGCAATCCACATTCCACCTCTTCCCCAAAGACACCCAGGATCTAAAAAGAAACTGAAAGTTGGGAAGACGGGAGGGAAGGTGGAAGGGAGAGGTCCAGGGCAGCCCAGAAAAACTGGATTGAATTTCTGGTGACTTCATCCAGCCTGGGGGAGATAGGGAGGTGAATTGAGATTACACACCTGTTGGCTACTGGAGAATCAGCCCCGGCCCTGACCATTACCCAGCCACCCCCACCACACACACAGAAACCGGGGGAGAGGGAGGGGAAAGGAGTATTGGGATGATCACTTAGTAAGTTATGTCTAGTAACTTACTAAGTTGTGTCTAATAACGGGTGTATAACTGAAACTAATATAATAATGTATGTCAAATATAATTGAAAAAATGTTTAATGATTTTTTTTTTATAAAGATCTGGGCTGCCTAAAGTTCTGAAAGGAAGAATCCCTGTCCCTGTGATTGGGTGACTGGTTGCATGGTGAGTCCCAATCAAGGCCCCGAAGGACCTCGGTATCTAGACCCAGGTTCAAGGCTAAGTGACTGGCGGCCAGGCTGCGGGCCTGGGCCCTCCTGACCACCTTGTCAGAACCTCCTCGCAGTCCATTGGCCGTCCCTGGAGCCGCCAGCCTGTGACTGCCTTCCCTCTCCCTGCCGACATCTAATTGCTCCTCCAAACCCAAAGCATCGGAACCCTTTGAGGATGCCCTTAGCTTTGCCCTGCTCCTCAGGGCTTCTGAAAACCACTTTCTGCTGGTCCTGACTGCCTCCCTGCTGCTCACACAAACTCTCCTCCTCGGGGCTTCGGTTTCCTCCTCTGTGAATGGAAACAAAGAGGTTACATATCTCACTGGTTGGAGATAATGTATGGGAAGCAGTATGTAATCCGTGCTGGCAGCTTTGGTTATTACTAGGGCCGGTCGGTCCTGCCTTGTTAACCCTTAAGCGCCGTGTCCGTCTTAGAGATCTCCCCAGTGGCTCAAGGTCCCCGTGACTCTGTGCTCTGGGGTTTCCCCTCCCCCTCTCTGCTGGCTCCCTCCCAGGCTCCTTCCTGGGGCCGCCTGCTGCCTGCCCCTCCAATGGCAGTGCTCCTTCCTGCCCTGGTACTTTCTGGGTGACCTCATGTGTTGTGTGGCTGCTGTTAAAAGCAGGGACTAGAGGCCCAGGTTTTGTGGGGTCAGTTCTGACTTAAAACCTACTGTCTGCCGGGATCGGTTTGGCTCAATGGATAGAGCGTCGGCTTGGGGACTGAAGGGTCCCGGGTTCAATTCCGGTCAAGGGCATGTACCCAGTAGGGGGTGTGCAAGAGGCAGCTGATCGATGACTCTCTCTCATCGATGTTTCTAACTATCTCCCTTCCTCTCTGTACAAAATCAATAAAATATATTAAAAAAACAAAACAAAACACTTTTAAAAATCTCCTGTCTGTTGTCCCTGTTTGGTCTCTAGTCAGGCTGGGCGTGGCGTTTGTGATCACATGTCTATGAGCCGAAGTGTCCTGGTCATCTCCCCGAGGGTCCTCTGGGCACCTCAAACTCAACAAGTCTAGATTCAGTAAACCCCTCACAATTACTTTTTTTCCTCCGATGCCTTGTCTCAAAGACTTCGCTTTGCCAGCTGTCACCTCGAACAGAAATGTGGGCAACAATTTCATCACTGCCTTCTCCCCACTGAACCCCTTTATCCAGCCCATCCCCCAATCCTAGGGAGCCTGGCTCCTGAACTTTGCTCTGGACTAGGCCTTTCCCTCTGTCCTCATCCTCACACAAGCCGTGTGCTGTTCTCCCTTTGTCCTGCTCTAAGCTCTCTGCCATCCCCCAGCCCACCTCCATGCTCCCTCTCCATGCCGCCCAGGATCCCCGCTGGTCCTTCTTCTCCCCGTATGGCATTGCCTGTCTCTCCCCGCAGTGGGAAACCCCTGCGAGCAGGGCCCGTGTGACTCACAGCTGACGCTCTGCCTTGGTGAGAGAGAGCAGAAGGAACTCCAGTCTTTGTGAGTCTGAATCAGAGCCCAACCTCTCACTCTACAGATAAGCAAACGGAGGCCCCAGAGGAGAGGGGCCTGGCTCCCAGTCACAGAGCAGGAAGAGGCGGACCTGGGGCTAGAACTAAGGTCTCTGGGTCCAGGTGGTGTTCCCGGAAGGAGATGGGGGCCCTGGGGCTGGGAACACCCCTCTGCCCAGCTGGCCAAAGAACGAGCCTCTCTCCTTCCCGCACCAGACCCCACCTGAGCTGTGTGCCAGGTCACCATTCCTGAGGCCTCCACCGGACCTCGCCATCGCTGATGTCTTCTCCCAGCAACAGGCCTTCCCTAACTGGGAAGGTCCATCCTCCATCGCTGACTGCGTAGTGCTTACTCCCTCCTCACCTGGCATCCGATCTGATCCTCATCCAGGGCCCCCCCAGAGATCCCAAAATGCCCCCAACCCCCTTTATGGGACCGTGCTCTCTGCTGCCCGCCTCCCTCTTCAGCCCCACCTGCGTGTCTCTGAGGTCCAGGCTTCCTGCCAGGGACATTCACTCCTTTCTGTCCATGGGGACTAGGAGCCTCAGACCAGGGCCGGGGTCTGAGCCTTACCAGAGAGCTGGGAACAGATGTGTGTGTGTGTGTGTGTGTGTGTGTGTGTGTGTGTGTACGGAAACACGGGGTTTCTAGTCTCTGCAGCTTCCCTTCCCCATGGATCCTGGAGTCACCCTGGCTTCCCATTCCTCCTTTCCTGCCACTCTTCCTGACCAAAGTTCCCACCTCAAAGACTCTGGCCACCTCAGCCTCAG